TTCAAAGTGACTATTCATAAGTGACTAACTTAGGCCTAATGAAGTTTACTTTTGCTCTAGATCAAGATTTGGCTAGCCTTAGTGAGTGGGTTTCTGTTTTAGTTAATTGAACTCGCCTCTGCTTGAAGTTCATTTACTAATTAGTTTTGTCGACAGCTGACGGCAACTTTTTCATGGACTGCGAAAAGTTTCCTGCCGAAAAGGGCAGAATATTCAACTTTACGAGGGAAAACTTAAAAATTCCATTTCGGCTTCCAGTTAAAGTTGCAAGATTTGAAAACTTTCCGGGGTGAGTGTCTTGGCGGCACAGGAATAAATCTGAAATATTTGTCATAAATTCAACGTGGCTGCATGCAATTTGCTTTGATGTTACGCCATGTCACTCCGTTCGCATCAGTCAATCAATCAATCCATCAAATTCATTTTCAACTAGCAAACTGACAGTCAATTGGAAAATTGAATTTCCAATGCGTAGACAACGAACCCCTCACCTTGACCCAAAACGCGTTCCAGTGCGAAATGCCGGGGAACAAAAGTAAAAGTGATCAGGCGAACCAGAGAGCAGAGTTAGAACAGAACGTATCCAGCAGATACAACAATTAGCTGGCTGAAATTGAGGCCGAAAGCGAAATGCACAATTAGCAAATTGACGCCAGTAAACAGAGGCGGAAAAGCCAATCAATAAACATCGGTAAAATACGATGCCACAAGCAAAACGAGCTACGTAAAAGCCCTGCTGTTGTGTTTTTTTCTGTTTGCTATCTGCCATAAAAGTAGGTGCACCTGTTGCTACCTCGCGGATACACAGAGAGCCACACAAAGTATCTGAGAATCCATGTGAGGGGCGCAAGTGTTTAGTATGCAGAGCGCGTGTAACTAACATTTTAGTAAACAGCTGAAATTCTTTCTAAATGTGTGAGCCAAGTAGGAATTTATGCCGTTTTCTGAACGTCGCCAACGTTTTTGTACAATGGATACACAATACTCTCTAATTACATTGGAAAATACACCGTCGCAGTCTTAGCATTCTAATGAGCTGTGGGAAATGTCTGCCAAAAAAGAATTAACCAAAAAGGGCCAGTAGAAACAGCCACGGAAATCCAGGTACCCTTACCACCCGCATCTCCATTTCTGATTGTACTCGACTTGCCTTTTGTCCAGCTTTCTTCTGTCCACTGTTCTCTTCTGTTCTGACTAGAAACAAAAGGTATTTAATTAAAAACACATTTATTTTAGATATTCTGTCGGCGGACATTGTTGTTTGTTGTTTGTGCGGCCGAAGTGGGCCAACGAACTTGCGTTTTTAATGGTTCACCGAGCAGGGAAATATAGCGGGGAGATTGAGATTTATGGGGAAAATATATACACTTTAATACACAGACCACTGCACATTTATTAGCTTTAAGTGGTTTTGATTATTAGCCGGTGCCCGAGGCCTTGAAAATCTTGGGGCTAATTTCGAGAGACGATCATCTGAAACGAGTTATAAATTGGTGGGCCTACAATAATTTAAAGTTTAAGAAAAAGCAAATTTTGTAACTTACAGAAAATTTTAAAGTTATTTACCTATTTTACTGTCAAGTTTTTGCTGCCCAGTATTGAGTGAGTGAGATTTTAAAACGAAAACCATTATGTCAGCAAAATAAATCATGTCGGGCAAGGGCAGACGAAATCTTTCACCATTTGTGTCTTGGGCATAAAAAATGACCAAATGCCATTTTACATATCATAAACAAATGCCAAATATAAATAAGATATGGAAATGGGAGGTCCAGCTGCTACCACTGTTTGCTGTGCCCCCTGGGCGGTAGACTATACGTAGTTCGTATATGTATAAATATTTTCATCTGTATTTCTCTATGGATCTATGGACATTGCTCATTACGTTTATGGATGCCAAGGCAGCCCCGACGCGTTTGTTTATTATTATCTATTTGTTTTGCCTTTATTTTGTTTAGTTTTTGTTTCTGTTTGTGCTCCTCCTCATCCTTATGCTCCTAATTTCAGCTGCTGCCTGCGAATTGCCTGCCATTTATGTGGCAAAAAAGAGAGACCCCCGAAAATAAAAAGTTCGAAACTAATGCGGGCACTATTAGCCATTCTCCCACATAGCAGGCACGAATTTGCATCTTTCTCGATTTAGCGAAATGACGCAACTATTCGGAAAGCGAGTCTACAAAAAGCGTATATCCTACATATGGCGAGGTTATGCACAAGCATCGTCGGCTATTGTAAAGTGTTTTTTGTTTTATATGGCAATTTTTAGATTTCTTTTTGCGTGTTTTTATGAGCGATGATGCTGGACAAGTTTTGATCATTAGCTAGGAATAGTTTCGGCCTTTGTTTTCGAGGAGATAATTCGGTGCTCTGAAAACGGAAGTTTTCTAAAAGGCTTCTCGTTAAGAAAGTGAAGTCATATTCCCTAAATATTATTCTAATTTCACTTTTTTCCGACGGGCAGACAAAGAACTAAGACTCTTAACGAAATGGAAAATCCTCTTAGCATGTTTTACACAGACAATCAATAACAATCGCAGCCAAAGTGTTCACACTTTCCATCAGCGAAAGCCATTGACCCGACAAAGCCGAGATACATAGATACATTTAACTTAATGCTGGGACAAAAAAGAAGGGAAAACTGTCGCAATTGGAGAGTGTTTGTGAGCGAGGAAAGCTTGCGTTTAATTGCATTTTGCTGGCGGAAAGTAAAAGTCACTTATGGGAAAACTCAAATCCACCCAGACGATGTCGACAATAAAGGTCTTTCTCTGCGGATCTCCCTCCCTGAAGTTACTTTCTGTCTGCATTATCTTGCCTTTATACAAGAGAGTATGTATTTCGGTCTGGGCCATTGTTTATGTGTCTGATTTTCTAATTGGTTTTCGCTGCCAATCCCAGACAAAAGGGTTAAAGGAGCGCGTTGGCCGAGAAAAAGGCGTTCGGCAGCAGTTTTCAATTGTTTGGTTGCAAAGTGTAAAGTGTAGATTAAATTGTCAAGATAAATGGCGCAAGACACGCCCCGTTTTGGTGGCTACTGTGTGTCGGAGTCTTTTATTCTTTTCTTTTTTATTTTTACCCCATTTATCACCGGCTAAGACTTTGGGAAAACTCACAAACAGGGGTTAAGTCCTACACGCCATTACTTTTCCATAGTCAAAGCGCATTTCCTGCCCACAGGTAGCAATCACAATCGCAGCTTTGATGGGCCACTTCAAGTTGTCGGTGCTCGTATCTGTATCTTTACCTATATCTATATCTGTGGGATCTGCTTTTATCTCCCGTCTCTTGTCTGTCTGTGTACTTTGCTCATTTGACTGCCTGGCTGTGTGTGAGTGTCGGCTTCATTCAGTTTGATTGATAGTTTGTTTACAAATTTAATTTCATTTTACCTATTTTCCTTCTTTAGTCTTCTCTTCTTGTGGCATAGCATTCACCTGTGTGTTCTACCCCCAACCCCCCACTCAGTGTTTGTCTTTTTCCTCAATGTTTTTCATTTTGGTCAACGAAGCTGGCCGCGCCTTTTATGTGGTCGCCGCCTCGTCGTGTTTGCCTTCTTTCCTCAGCTATTTTATATGTTTTATATAAGGAATATAAGGAACGTTTCTGTACGACCACATCTACATACACAGGAATCATATTAAATGCAATCCATTTGAATGTTCGCTCATTTGTGCAATCCAATCACGTAGGCACCGTAAAAAGGATGCCAAAAACTCTTTCGGGGACTTCATTTGGAACCCCGTCCCCGTCGTAATGTGTGGGCGTGGCAAGGCCAAAACTCAGGCAATTGTTGTTGGCTGTTACAGAACTTGCCCCTTGGGGACTTTGTCATTCGACCAGTTGCCAAGTCCCAGATGGGACATTAGAGAGGCGCACTCCTCGTTTACAGGTCGGGGACCCAAACAATTTGACATTGATTAAAGTAAATATTGTTGCCGAAACCTGGGAAGGCCTATTTATTAAAAATCAAAGCGAATTCTTGAGTAATTTAACTTGGATAATGCGACCCTAATTAACGTTGAAAGTTATTTTGGGTGTTGTTTCAGCGGGAGGAATTTTGATTCTCGGTCATGGAATTGACATTTTATACATTTTCATTGACAGATTATATTAAACGTGAGGGTCTTGACAGGGATTTCCGGTGACACTTTGAAGAGAAATCGATAAAAAAAAATGTAGATTTTGTGTGGGGTAAAAATTTTTGTTTTATTTATAATCATCTCACCAAAAAAGTCATAAATCTTGCGAAATCTTCGTCTCGCTAAACTTTTGCATTTGCTTGAGTGATTTTCTCGTGTTCGCTAAAGCCCAGAACAGCGACCCCAATTAGATTTTGGTCGCCTCTGTGCCCAAGAAACAATTCCCGAGCTTTATCGTGCTGACTTCCTTCCTGTTTGTCCCAAACGAAAGTAATGCACACAGCAAACATTAGACACCGAGTGCAAAAGGGACCAGAAAGAAATCTCAATAAATCACAAGACAAAGGAATGGATGAGCGTCCGCCGCAGACTCTCCAGACTTCCACTGCCATTCCCAGATCCTGATCCTGAACAGAGGTTCGTTTAAAGCCGCAAGTCGACAAATCGCACACGAAAGTGTCCCTTTCTTTGTCGCGTCTGCTTGTCCTGGGATTAGGGAACGCCATCACCTTGTTAACCTGCATGCCATTAGCGTAATTCGTTTTGTGTCTCCGTTCGCTGGCATGGGAAACCCGAAAAATGTTGCGACGCCAGACAAATTCAATCCTGAGGTTGTGCCGACACTTCCTGACACAGGAACGCTTTGTAGGGTTTCACTCGGCACTCGAGGCAGAACGCCGAGCTAATTAATTTATGGGTTGTCCTGAAGACAAACCCTCGAAGACGCCGCTTTGTACTTGTAAATTGCCTGCCTCAAGAGGTTCGGCAGCCGAAGATCTCCCCAAACTAAGACCTCTAAAATTTTCAGTGAGCCAGCCATGGAGGGGCCCGCCTAATTGCCCCCCAAATCGAGCAGACCAACAGGGAGAGTGAAACTCGTTTCCCCGGAAGTGAGCAATTGACCAACTAGCAGGATGGCCTCGCTGCACCAGAAGCGTCCCAGCATCAGCAACTGGTTCTCCTCGCTGCGGCGGCAGCCCAAGAACTCCAAGAAGAGCTCCTCTGGCCTCGGAGGCAGTGGAAGCTTTGGCAGCAAGCAGCAGTTGCAGCGGAGCTGCTTCGACCTTTCCTCCACGGCGGCGGGGGGTGGTGGGGGTGTGAATGTGGGCGTGGGCGTGGGATTCTCCACGAAGGGATCGCCCGGCAGCCGCCTGAGCAACAGCACCTTCTACATCAACCCCCTGAATGCATCTTCTGCCGGCGGCAAGGACGATCGCCGTCGTCTGGTGGAAACGGGCAGCAGCAGTAGCGGCAGCAGCCTAAGCAGCGTTTGCACGCGCTGCTTTTGCAATCTGCTCACCAAGAGTGAGGCCAGCAAGGAGTCCACGCCCAAGGGCGCCCCCAAGGTCACGCCAAAGCCGCCCGTGAAGCCCCGCTCCCCCTCGCTGGCGCCCTACACCAGCGTGGCCACGTACAACATCACGAACCTGTCGCCGGACAGCCCACCGCCCGCCAGCCCCACGCTGAGCACCGAAACCGTAACCTGCAACGACGTGACCCGCAAGGTCACCGAGGTGCAGCGCCTGCCCTGCCCCGATGAGCCCAACGCGGCGATCCTTAGCAAGCGAACGGAGTACAAGCACACCACCACCACGACGACGACCAGGACCCTGATCGTTTCGCGACCCGTGGAACTGCTACTCAATGAGAAGGGAGAGATAATCTCAAGGCGATCCCCGCGAAAAACACGCTCCAACTCGCTGGGTTGCATGCTCGATGTGGAGGATAGTGAAACGGAAATGGGATTGGGATTGGAAATGGGCATGGACAATCCCGGACTGCAGCTGGAAACGGATCCCAGTTCGGGGCTCAGTTCACCGCTGACACCCGATACCGGCGATCTGCGCTTCATCGACGACAGCTCCAATTCGCAGAGCGAATCCGAGCGAAACTCAATCAGCCACCACCACCAGAACAACAACAACAATAATGAGAATCACAACAATAACAACAGCAGCAGCGGCGGCAGCAAAAGGGGCAGCCAGCAATCGAATCTCTGCGAGAGTTGTCGCACACTCCTCGAGCGAAACCGCAGCAATGCGGAGCAGAGTGGCAATCTGGTCATCCTCAGGCGACCAGGAAAGGTATGCGGGGGAGGAGTTAAGGGAAACGTAAATTCCCAAGTAAAGCTGATTGCTTTAGTCATTACTTCCTTTTACAGTCTTCCTTTTTTGGCAAAGTCTAATATAGGGAATACTAGACTGGTCTATGAATTACTCTTCCAAACTTTAGTTTATCTTTATAAAATTTCAATACAGTTAAGATGTATTTTCTTGGGGCTTACACATTCTTAATAGATTTATTAAAACTACAAAATTAATGGTACTTTGTGCAGTTTAAATAAGAATTCTTCTCGTCAGTATAGTTAAAAGTAAATTATATTTTCTTGGGATTACACATTTTTATTAAAACTCCAAAGTTTAAATAAGAATTCCATTTCTAAAGAATTCGTCTTGTCAACTCTGAGATAAATAAGTTTGGGTTTTTAATCTTTGCGTTTTTTGGCACCTTGTTTTGCCATTTTATACCACAATCAATTTGTTTTCGGCTCAGACGGAGGCCCCCATCGTTTGTTTTTAATTTCCCTGCGATTCGAGGAATTTGCATTGAGCGGTCTGGAACCGGTTATCACCTGTAGCTGCTTCTGTGGAACTCGACTGCGGCATGTTCTCACACTCATCGGCAAGTCACTTTTACCTGTTGCCAGCTGTAAGTGGAAGACACCAAGCCCCGATTTGAGTTTATTTTTAGGCTTGACGCTCATTAACTTTGTCTCCCTGCCAGTTGCTCTTTTCCTCTTAATAGGCTGTGTCCACTTGGGTCTCTTTAATAATTGTCGCTTTTTACCGACTCTTGGATAGAACCTGTTCAACGCTTTAAGTTTTTATATTGTTTTATGTAATTTTCTATGGTTTTATGGGGCGTAGCTTGGTAGCTTAAGGCTACCATTGGTTTATTGTATTGATTGGGAAAGTTGGAAAATTTACATAATTTCTAAAGGATTGCGCTTTATGGAAATTAAAGACGAACGGAAGTTGCGTGGCATGTGGGTAATGAAAATTAATGGTTTTAAGCCTGGGAAACTTTTAACGATCAAAATAGAGTCTTAAACTTATCAAATGTTGGTGTGAGTTGAGTAATTTATTCAAAAATAAACTAATATAAATGTGGAGAAAATAATATAAATGTGGAGATCAAGCTATTCTTTACTCGTTTATTGAACATCATTCTTTAAAAACATTTTCTGCTTACGCTCATTCTTTGCGACACGTATTGGGTATTAAAATTCCTCAAAATCATTCAAAGTCGTTGAAGTCTGGGCAGATCTATATTCCGACAAGTCACTCAGTATTCAATGAGAATTTCAATTTCGATAGACTCTAGGGAAGGTCCCAGTGATCTCATCGAGAATCTCAACGATCTTAGCAACTGCATGTATGACCAGTCATATGCGATGCGTGTAGGCTATTACAGTACTTGGGCAATTTGTCAATTGTATTTTATGGCGCTTAATTAACATTTCTCCCTTCAATTCGGTGGCATATAGACATATACATATACCCCCTCCCCAAGAGTCGGAAGGTCACTCAATGGGCCTGGGCTGTGAATGAGTACGGGGCAATTGATATGTTCCGGTCTCGTGGCTCTCATCTCATCGTTCATGCGTCAACTCAGCACTGTAGCAGCCTACAGATACAAGATACTTTCCGCACACACTTCGCTTCGGTTCGGGGGAATCTCGCTCGTTCCGCCTCTTTGGGCACCGCATCAAATTGACATTCTTCTGTCGGAATGACCCTTGAGTAAGAGGGCCCCGGGGCCATGCCCACTTCTTGAAGAACAGTAACCGCAGGCGATGTCTCCGGTTCAGTGTCAGGTAGTTCGTTAATTCAATTAAATCAACTTTGCATTGCGTTTTATGATGGCTGGGCTCTATTTCTATTTGGTATTTTGAGACCAATTTGAAAATGGTTTCAAGTGAATCTATGTCGTCGTTGTCGCTTTTTTATTTGGCGCCAGTCCAAAGGCGACACGGCACTGAGGAAATGCAAATTACCCGACTTTCAACTGTGCTTAGAATTTATGGGATTTTTTTTTATAAATATCGCACGCAGTTTAAACAGCAGCCAAGCCACTTGAACTTTTTAATTAACTAGGAATTGTCGAGTATTTGCATATGTATTTTTAGCAACACTTGTTTCGGGCACTTCCTTCTGTTATTTTTAAATTCCCAGCTGCGTAAATGCACGTGTTTAACCTTTCCGTTTCTGAATCTCTCCTTTCAGCAAATCAAAGATGAGTTGTGCGAGGTTGTCTCGGAAATGGAGGCGCTCGATGTGCCCGAAGACTGCAAGCATTCCAACAAGGATAAGCAGATGTCCATTGGCCGCAAAAAGTTCAATATGGATCCGAAAAAAGGTGAGTGAATGTGTAAAATTAAAAGGTAATGGGTTCTGCGGTTGTACTTTCCCCTGGAGCCCTCAGAAAGTCATTGTTCGATTTGGCTTGTAATTTCCCGATGACTCACTGCCAGCGTTTGAAAAGCTACGCTACTCTCGTAGTATTTTGTTTTGCTATTGCTATCGCTCTCTTTTTGACTAGAGCCGTAGCAGAGCCATAGCAAAATAACGAGAAAGTTTGTGCTCTGCTCTGCTCGTAGTTTTGTCGCTTCAGAAACTGTAGCAATAGCGGTAGCAGAAAATCAAGTCCTGTGCTCTGTGTAGCAGTAACGGTAGCAAAAAATTGATAGCGAGATGAGAGCCGAGCACTTGCTTTTTTTTCATGTGCTACGACTCTCGCTTGTGTTAGTTTTCTTATTTTCTGCACCTTTCTTATGCAGCGTTTTCTTTTTAATTGTCGCTTTGCCAGAATGAGAAAGAAAATATTTTCTGTCAGAATAAAGTGGTTTAAAATAATAAAATAAATAATAGTATTTTATTCAAAAACTAAAAATCAATAAAAAACGAATATTATATATAATCTCTAAAGATTATAAAATGAAAGACCGATTTTTAGGGGGATACGACCACAGCCTAAACCATAAGAGCTAGAGCAGCCAAAATTTTTCACAGTATGTCATTGGGGGCGTAGGCGCCCACTAAGGTCCGACATGTCCCCCCAGTGGCCCCAAACAGCTCCAATATCCATATTTAGAGCAAAAAATCATTAGATTTACTTAAGCTTAGCTTCTAAAGTGGTTGTACTTTCGAAATTTTGATTTTGCAGAATTTTAGGTATTGAAAGGGCCTAATTAGAAATCTAAAAGAAATTTCGATATCCCCCATAATTTGGGGGCTACATTAAAAATTAACTTTTCGATTTAAAAAATCTAAACCGCTGCTCCGATCGAGATGATTTTTTGGTAAATGGTTATTCTATGGCCCAAATGCTTAAGTTTAATTTTTTAAGTTTTTAACATTTTTTAAAGTATTTTTAACGAATTTATTTTGATTTCCTAAGTTATTGCGTTGCATTTTGTGGGAGCCCGCCGAGAGAGCGAAACCCAGAGAGCGGATGGCAAGCCAGCGACGGCCGAGAGAGCAACAGCCAAGAAATGGGAAGGGTAGTGCTGCAAGGAAAGGGGAGGGGAAAGAGGCAATTTAAGTTAAATTTGTTTTGGATTTTAAAAACTTAAACTCCGATCAAAATGATTTTCGATCAATAGTCAGTCCTGTGGATCAAATGCTTAGGTTTTATTTTTCATTTTGTAGCAGAAGTAAGAACCTTATTTAATTTCCACCATGGAAGAAAATAGAAAATTACTACAAATTCTGTAAGCAAAGCCAAAATGTTTCCAAGTTCAATATTAATCTTAAGATTCGAACTTTTGACCAAATACTTATGTACATATGTATATTTGGATATGTTTTGATTTGCTTATATGTATGTACAATACATGTACATACACACAATGTGTGTGTATGTTTCTATTTGAATGTAGATAATGTGCTGAAATACAAATAAAATAATTTATTTCCTTTTAGCCAATGCAAAATTGGAAGAGTTTAAAATTAATAATTATCAATCAAATGTGGAATCGGAAAATAATAAGTTACTTCGCTACTTTTGTATGGGATGTCAATCTTTTCGTGTGTGTACAAATGTTTTCGTTTCATTCAAAACAATAAATTTAAAAATAACAAATTCGAATTTAGAAACAAGTGTAAACTTGCGCGCAAATTAAAATTGCATTGATAACATTGTAACTGCACTCATAGAAATTTTTACCTAAATAGTAGAAAAGTCGCCCTAAAACCGCGGTCGCCCTAAAGCTACGAAAAATTTTCTTATTATACGGGTGGCTAGCCCTAAATATACGAAAAATCGCCATGGAAAATATTTTTTAGGGTTAGTTTTTCCAAAAAGGCCAATTTGCCCTGTTTTTTAGGGCGAAATTTTATGACGCAATTAGGGATGTCGAAATATTTAAAAATATCGTATCGATGATATTTTTTATTTAAACAAAAAATCAAAATGATATTTGATATATCAGAAAAAAAATATCTATATATCAGATATTTTTGATATTTTTGTTTTATTATTTTTTTTTTTTAATTTTAAGCTGCATAAGCAATAACCACCAAACATTAACCCCCATACGATCTTAAATTATATTTTTATAATTTTTAGTTTATATATTTTAATAAATGAAAGAAAACAATATTTATTTTGGCTTTCTTTTGCTTTTATTTATAATATTAAAGTCAATTATTTCCAGCGCTTTTTTTTTTCTTGAATTCTGAATGCTATGCTATGCATTTTCACTTGCCGAAAAATAAATTTTAGCGGCGCTCATCTTTCACATATGTATTTATTCTTGTCCCGATGAAAAGTGAGACCACTTAAAATTATCAAAAAAATGTGAAAAAAAAATCGATGATATATGATAATTATTGAAAAAAAATATCACGATAAAAATATTTATTTTTTCGTAAAAAATATCGATATATTGATATTTTGATATATTTTCGACATCCCTAGACGCAATAAATGGATACATACATGTAAAACATGTTATTTACATGTGTGTGTAGTTGACAGGTCAAGACAAGTGAGTAAGAATGGGTAGCCCAGCGGTCTAAGCACTCGCACTTTCAGCTTTGCTGTTTGAAAATACATGTCGTGGGTTCGATTCCTGTGTGAGTCAACACTTTTGTTTTTATTACAGTTTTTATTACTAATTAAGTTTTTTCGTTCGCATGTTAAATTTAAAGTAGTTTTAAAACCCTAAATACATATGGAAATTCTGAATTTAAAGACTAATTTATGCTAAGCATGCGAAGAAACGGCCCTAAGTATCCCAGCCAGCAAAAAATTCAAGTTTTTGTACGAATAACTTAGACCGCAAGAAAGTAAGATGTGTACAGTGTTTGTACGTTGCTTAGCGCGATGGGACTGTGGTGCAGCGCTAGAGCGTTAGACTCCAACTCGAGAGGCCGTGGGTTCGAACCCTCGTAGAGACCCCAAATGTTTTTCTCAAGTAAGTTGTTTTTTCTCCTTATATATAACTCCTTAATTCGATTACAAAGATGATTTTTCAGTTATAACCGGCAGTTATACAAGTCTGCTGCCTCCTGCCCCCAATGGCATCATCCGATATAGCAACAATTCAACAAATAAATTATCTGAAACGATGTTCGTGTGTGTGTGTGTATGTGTTGAGTCCAGTTCCCAGGAAAATATCAAAACCCCCCCACCCACCGAAAAATTAATAGATTTTTTTGCTTTTATTTGGTTTTATTTTTATGGCGATTCGCCCTAGATTTGTTGCCTAGTCGCCATTGACCCCCGTTTTAGGGCGATTTTCCCTGTTTTTAGGGCGATTTTACCGGAAAATTTCTATGAGTGTGATAGAAGGTATAAAAATGCACTTCTTTTACTTAGATCGCATTCATTTATTATATAGCTCTACCAGTAGTCTTCGGAATCTCTCTCTTGAAGAATCTTCTAGAAAGGATGTTTACGCAAAGGGTTTCAACAAACGCGCAAATAAGATATAAGAAAGTCCTGACAACCTAATTTCCAAACTGCAAACTAATTTTGAGCGAACGAAGTCGCTCCGGGTATAGCTAGTATAATATAATATATTGATTTTTAGTTTTTGAATAAAATACTATTATTTATTTTATTATTTTAAACCACTTTATTCTGACAGAAGCAAGCGAGAGTCGTAGCACATGAAAAAAAGCAAGTGCTCTGCTCTCATCTCGCTATCAATTTTTTGCTACCGTTACTGCTACACAGAGCACAGGACTTGATTTTCTGCTACCGCTATTGCTACAGTTTCTGAAGCGACAAAACTACGAGCAGAGCAGAGCACAAACTTTCTCGTTATTTTGCTATGGCTCTGCTACGGCTCTCGTCAAAAAGAGAGCGATAGCAATAGCATAGCAATATTTGTATTCATCTCGCTACTACGGAGTAGTAATTGCAAACACTGCTCACTGCGAATCAATATGCACATGTACGCGTATATTATTGCTCCAGAGCTCAGTGCAATTTAAAAGGTTCTTTCGCCATATAATCAGTCGAGATTCCCAGCTCCACAGCAGCTTATTTGGCAATCAGGAAGGGAGTGTCGCTCAAAGTCGTGAAATGTAAACTTTGCGAGTGCGATGATTTAAATGAATTTCCAATGACAACGGGCGACACCCCGGAGCAGCGACAATGAAGTCAGACAAAAATGCTTTATAATTGAGCTGATGAGCGGGGAGGGGCAGACCGCACCACAAAAACATGGAGTGGCGGAGGGCAGATTCACACCAGAATCTCCACGAATCCATGGAGCGTGCTCCGGCGCCAAAAGGCAAAATTACCATGCGAAATTGTCAAAGAGTGAGGATTGGCTGAACGGAGGGTCTTGTGGACACGTTCTTCCCATGATAATTTCGACGTTAATTTAATAACGTAATGAGTTCGACAAAAAATGCAGGGAGTGCAGTGGGAAGGCTGCCGAAGAAGATCTTCTGGGGATTGTCTATGTGGGTGAGGGGCGTTCGCTCGCTCACTATCTTAAAATACTGACAATTTTGACAGTTCGTTGACATCTGAAGTACGTGCGTGTGCGTCGACACCTCTTTCCCCAAAACTGGAATACCCTCAGCATGCTCAAGTGTTTAATTTAATGGAAATGTCAATGTCGCAATATTACCAAGAACTTGACAGGGGAGGATGCCATAGGGGCATCGTGCTAGAAGAAGAACCCAGAACAAGGACGTAGAAAAACGGGGTGGGAAGTATATGTACAAGATAGAGAGATAATTGGTGCAACCCATAAAAAGAGTTTAGAGAATATAAAGGAAATTCTTTTGTTAATTATTTTAATGAACATTTTAAAAACCCTTTCCCAGAAAAGTATTTAAATTGATATTATTGAGTTGTAAGGATGAATTAAATCATTTACAGGGAAATCGTTCTATTTTCGTATCGAAAGAAAGAGAGAGAGCTAAATATACACGTTCAACTTCACTTTTGGAGCATTCTCATGGGGTGACCCACATGTCATGTTTGCCTTCTAACCATTTCGGGAACATCTCAATTTCCCCACCGTATCTTGGCACATTCCACAACCTCCCTACCCTCCCCGCTCGGCCCACTCGTTTAAAGCCAATCAAATATTTACGTCAACCTCTCTTGGCCATAAATTACCGTCGACATGTCAAAATTAGGCCACGCAGCTTCCAACAAAAGACAGCACACATCCTGCCCAGCTTTCCGCATATCTATGGGGCGCACAATAAAAATGCTAATCCAAAGTGGGAGGCCTAGGGAGGTGCCTGTGCCGTAAATGGCGGAATAACAAAAGCCAAATCGAATCCCGGCCAGAGACGAGATGTTTTGTCATCGCTTATTAAAAAACTTCCACAGGGAGTCGATGGTGGTGGTCTCACTTTATCGGCCGATTATCAGCAATATACGCAAACAGATCCACACACGAACACTCAAATTAATGGCGCACAAATGTGCCATTCATAACGCTCAAATGATGCCCCCGAAGGAGGGGTTGTGGGGAGAATTGGGTGGGGGTGTTTGCTGCCAACTTGGCGATGTTAATCGCGCGTGAAGCTTCCGAAGTCACGCAAAACTTTCTGCCGTCGGGAAGGCAGGAGCGGATTTCTGCTAAGGACCTGCATTAGAGCAGGGGATCAAAGTTCTACGTCCTGTGGCTGATTTGTCATTATCGACATCATTTGTGTTATTCGATTTTCCCCGATGTCAATGCCGACTCCAATCGGAAAATCCAATCTCTGGGACGTCCGATATTGTGCTGGCGCCACCTGGCGGACAGTGGCATAAACTTTTGCCGCAGCAATTTCTTTTTTCTTATTTTCATACATTTTTGTTTACATTTAATAATTCTAGCAAACAAATAGTTGTTTGCGTGTGATTTGCTCGCGTTTTTCCAGCTTTTATCGGAATTGGTTGAGCTTCTTCATTGATTGGCAAATAATGACATCGTTATTATGGGCCGCTCCCACTTTATTCTGTCTTTATTTTTCCGTATTCCCTCTTTATTGAGATTGCTGTGGTTTATGTTGCGGGTCGCTGGCTTTGAGTGCATGCCTACATATATGGGTATATTATATGATTTGATTTGATTTCTTCTTTGTTGTGACTGGCGTGGCGGCTTGCTTTTCCGGGAACATTCGTGGTGATTACAAAGTCTTGGCTGCAGTTGGAGAACTCATATCTCAATATTCACAGACTAATACTAATACTCGATTTTCTTTTTCTTCCAGGCATTGAGTATCTCGTAGAGAACAGACTGCTGCGTCACGATCCCCAGGACGTGGCACATTTCCTCTACAAGGGCGAGGGACTGAATAAAACGGCCATTGGTGAGTTATCCTAACCAGAAGTCATTAAATTGACCTTGCTCTTATCACCATCGCTGAAATGAAAACAGAAAAAAGCAATTATACGCACTGCAAACATACATTTTAATGGCCGTTTTCTTTTCCAGGCGATTACCTTGGCGAAAAGAACGATTTTAATGAGGATGTGCTGAAAGCCTTTGTGGCGCTCCACGACTTCACCAATCTCATTCTGGTGCAAGCCCTCAGGTAGGTCCCCCACTCCCACTTGTAATTACCACTATCGCTAATGGCACTTTCCCCCCGCTCCACGTTTCACTTTCCACAGACAATTTTTGTGGTCATTTCGCTTGCCCGGCGAGGCGCAAAAGATCGACCGCATGATGGAGACCTTCGCCCAGCGCTATTGCCAACTGAATCCGGATATATTCACCAACACGGACACCTGCTACGTGCTCAGCTTCGCCATTATAATGCTCAATACATCGCTGCACAATCCATCGGTAGGTACCCAATAACCCTAAAAAAAGAGATGTTCGACAAAAAAATTAGCAATGAATTCAAAATACTTAAATACTACTTTTAAAGGTACTACTTTTTTATACGCATTGGTAATTTTGAACAATTTATGACATTATACCATTAGGGATTTGCCGATAAAAAAGAATTCAGAAAACTGTATTTCTTTGCATTAACCTCAAGTTCTTAAAAATCTTTATCGCCTACCGGATGTTGGGGGCAAGCAGTCAGGAAGCAGTTGCTCATGCCAAAACAGAAAGAAAACAAGAAAAACTAAAAAAGAAATGCCTGACGCGTGCCTCGGATCTGTCCTTCAACTTTGAAATTACATTTTTATTCGCTGGTTGTCAGCCAGTAATTATCGAGATCGCAGCATTTACTTCCGCATGTTGCCTTCTGCATTTGCTGGGGCCCAAAAGTCACTGAGCGTGCGACCAACCGATCTTTAGATAAATTACTTAATAATGAGGATGCTATAAATAGGGCAAGTGTAGAGAAATAAGATGCAAACTGCTGAGAACTTTATTGAGCACTTTGAGTTGGTTTTGATCAAACGAAAACTGCAAATTAAGAGCGTTTTTCATTAGCATTCTAATCAAATTCTAATCCTGTGTTTCGCTTTGTTTTTATAGGTTAAAGACAAACCCACCGTTGAGCAGTTCATATCGATGAATCGTGGTATCAACAACGGCGGAGATTTGCCCCGCGGCCTGCTGGAGTCCCTCTACGAGTCCATTCGGACGGAGCCATTCAAAATACCCCAGGACGATGGCAATGATCTGATGCACACCTTCTTCAATCCCGACAAGGAGGGCTGGCTGTGGAAGCAAGGCGGCAGGTGAGTTGATAGATGATGCCATGGGTGATTTCCCAACTAACGAATGCTTTTCCTTCCTTTTGCTGAAGATACAAATCGTGGAAACGACGCTGGTTCATTTTGAACGACAATTGCCTATACTATTTTGAATACACCACCGATAAGGAGCCGCGTGGCATTATACCCCTGGAGAACATATCGGTGCGCGAGATTCACGATCGCAGCAAACCGCACTGCTTTGAGCTGTTTGCCACTGGCGGTGCTGACATCATCAAGGCATGCAAGACTGACTCCGAGGGCAAAGTGAGTACTTCGTTGTATAGTGTTCAGATTAAATGCTAATTAACATTTTCTATCTCCCTATTTCAGGTGGTAGAGGGCAAGCATACGGTGTACCGCATGTCCGCTGCCACGGAGGAAGACCAGCAGGAGTGGATCAAGCGCCTGACGCAGTCCATCAGCCACAATCCGTTCTATGACATCCTAGTACAAAGAAAGAAAAAGGCGCTCAGCAAGAGTTAATATTAAGAAGGAGCTCGGCGCAACTTTTGTCTTGGATCTCAGTGAAACTCTGCTACGCGTGTGTGGCTGCTCTCTCCCCCTATTTAAACAAGTGCATATGCATATACCTAAATTATATAATTATACGTTGTGTGTGTGTGAGAATTTTTATGTTGAAGCAATGCCTCTAATTTGTTCACCTTGTGGCTTGCCCCAATCCCCAATTATGTCTTTGTATTCTGTTTGATTGACTCGAAACAAGCCATCACACGCCGACGCACTCCGAACCACAAACTTTGTCTCTATTGTTGTGATATAATTTATTTACATTAAGCTCAACCAATATGAATAATGAATAATATGAAAGATAACTGAAAATTGCATCAATAAGAAATACACATTTATACACATTTTCATTAGTGCAAATTTTTGATTAGTTTCATTATAGGCGTAAGTCTACGAATATGTCTTTAAATTAGCGTTTACCACCTAGGTTGTCCCACCACCCTCTATTATAGAAACCCCTAGTGCTATGAAACATATCCCAGCCGCCAGAACGCTGTTGGAACGCTGAAGTTTATGAATATGATAATTTGATGCAAGTGAAAACAGCATACATATGTTGCTTGGCAATTATTATTAAATTACATTTAAAAAGGCCTTTTTAATACCCACATCTAAGGCTAACAACGAATAAAAATTAAAACATATAAAAAGTGAAGCTGTTTAAATAACAGAACCAATAAATAAATGCATTTAGACTGCAAGGTGGTTTGATAAAAAGATTCTGGAAAGGGCAAACATAGTTTATATTAAACCAAAGATCTAATTTAAACTATTACTTCAAAATGCCAACTTCCAACTCTATTAAACGCTCTTCTTATAAGTTTAAAATAATTCTTTGTCATTTGAAAAGTGTTTTGAAAATGCGTTTTTTGTAAAGTTTGTTAATTTGAATAGTGAGAAACGAGCCAACCGCAAAGTGTTCCAGCCAGTGTTGAAATCACTTACAATAAATTTGAAAGAAAAAAAATAATAAATTCTAGGACAAATGTGTAAACAGGGAATGTAGGTAGCTCTAAAAATCAATGAAGATGAACTCGGTTGCCAACATTAATCTTATTATAGCTATAAGATGCTGTTATATGGATGTAATAATAGATTTTATGTTGAGCCTCTGTGATATCATTGATGGGAAAGAGCTCTTAGCAGATCCTATGTGGTTTGTTTTGTTTCCAGACTGACGGATAAACTTCATCACATCACATTTAATTGTCATTTATCCATTTTGCCTTGATTGTCACTGATAACCGAACCGCTTAGCAATGTTTTGAATTTTCAATTTGGGGTCTGTTACATCATAAAAATTATTAAAAATCAGCAGTCCCAAATATTTTTGCAATATTATAAATAATTTAGCTAGCTTTGTATATCTACTTCAAATAACCTTACTATGTATTATCAAATATATATGGATGTATTATATCTTGTGTTTCTTTTTATCGAATGTACATAACTACAACATTAATTATAGTTCTCTCATTTCGATGAGGTTCATTATGGTCTACAAGTGTTTGTCCTATACATGGGCAGTAAATACTAATGTTTACGATTAGCGTACGCCTGTGAATATGTGCGTTTTAGCATTTCTATAAAAAAGAAATAAACCGATTGTATATATTGTCAGGATAACTTGATGTTATATAAATAAGTATGCCAGTAAAAATAGTGTAGTTTAGTATTTTGTATCGCTTTAACATTAATGTGAACAGATAATTATATAGAAATATATAAAAACATCAAATAAATATTATATAACGTTTATTACAAAATTAACAAAATGGTGTACTGTCTACTTAATTCCTGAAATGTTTTGTCAAACAACAGACATGAATAATTTGTTTCGACCAGCAGCGTATCGAACGTACTACAAGAACGCTGTGTCCATTAGCCATCACCTTAACGCTTCCGAAAGAAGTTCCGATTATTTTAATGTACCTAAAATTGTTATGTAATAGGCAAATTCCATTGCCATATTATTTAGTGTTAATTTTTTTATTCAAGTAATTTATATTCTACGAAATTTACAATTTTGAAATTCAAAGCAAGCCATGTTGTATTTGGCTCTAGGTGTTTCTTTATTATTTTTTTTAGTTACTCAATGACACCTAATAATAGGTATACAAACGGTTTGAAATAAATATATCTCTCCAATATATCCCAAAATGATTTTTTTTGTTTTGAACTACTTAGACGTTTAATTAAAAATGCGGTTGAAAAATTCCTGGTAAAACTTAAACGGAAGGTGTCTAATAACACTGTGCAGCATTTTTAGTGCTTTTTAAATTTACCTCGATGGATGCTATATTTTTGGATTCGTTACGAATTCCCAAGTTAAACTGCGTTTTCCAAAAAGTTCCCCGACGCAAGGATTCTTAGCAAAAGGACCTCAAAGTTCAAAAAATGCTGAAATTGGCCAACTTTGCGGAGCTCTCAGAGGCAAATGGATGCATGGTTTGATTCTAAGTTAAAGTTTTTTAGAAGATACACCCTTTATCTTTTAAACCCTATACTTAAAACATTTTTAAGATTTTTTTTAAGGCAGAAACAAATTCTAGAAAACATAGTCAAAAAACATTAAAGTATACAGCTGCGGTCAAAATGGTAGTAGTGTTGCCGCCCTGTGTATTTAAAAGTTTGTTGTTGTAATTGATCTTTTCCTGGTAATATTGTATTGATTATAATTTTACTATTAGACTAATTGGATAAGAAAAAATTACAACATCAAACTTTTAAAAACACAAGGCGGCAACACTGCTACTATTTTGACCGCAGCTGTATGATTTTCAGTTTTTTGACTATGTTTTTTGGAATTTATTTCTGCCTTAAAAAAAATCCTAAAATTATTTTATGTATGGGGTTTGAAAGATAAAGGGTGTATCTTTTAAAAAACTTTAACTTCGAACCAAGCCATGCATCCATTTGCCTCTAAGAGCTCCGCAAAGTTGGTCAATTACAGCATTTTTCGAACTTTGAGGTCCTTTTGCTAAGAATCCTTGCGTCGGGGAACTTTTAGGAAAACGCAGTTTAACTTGGGAATTCGTAACGAATCCAAAAATATAGCATTCATCGAGGTTCATTTTTGATGCTGCATATTGTAATTATTTTCATAATTTTCTGATACGTCATTCGAATAGCGCATTTGTAAAAAATCTAAATAATATATTTGCATTTGCGCATTTGTAAAATAATCTAAATAATATAATGTTATTGACTATATTTAATAACGTACTATCCTCATGGTTTCGATGGACACGTTACATCGGTAGCTTTTAGACATAAAGGCATCAGAGCTTTCAGAGATACAAGTACGAGAGTAGCCCTTCTTTTTGTATCACCACAGAATCGATTTTTAGCAAGTGGCCACCGTACCACTTATAATATATTATTGCAGCGGTCGCTGTTATGGTCAAGTTACTCATTGGTAACAGAAAGTATAAATTAAACCATAAGATGGAATTTTTTTCTGTTTCTTAGGGAACTATTCGCAATGACACTCAGGAGGTCAAATCAAATTCGAAATTATTGTAAACTCCTTAAGAAGAAATTTCTTAGAGAGCATTACGTCGGTGGTGACTTCCTGAGAGTGCTCGTCCAAGATATTTCTTCCTAAGTAAATTTACAATCATCTCGAATTTGATTTGAGTACACAATGGTCGTAGCGTAGCGTTTATAGGCCTGATAAAAGACAGAAACCACAACTTTTTACCTCCCCCTCAATTTGTTACACTTACTCAAAATCCTTTAGAAGCTCGTAGAGAGTTTCAATAATCCCTAATCCATTTTAACTCTTGCAAATTCTTGAAAAAATAATCAAAAATTTGAATACTTTTAATTTTAAAAAGAAACCTTGTTTTTTATCGAGCAGCTTTCCATGTCTTCGCACTTTATTAGCAAAACAATTTGTGACGAACGTACCGTTCGGTAGGTTAACCTTTTAAGGGCTGTTTTCTCGTCCTCCTGTTAAATTTAAGAGAATCTTTAACTCTGATTTCCTATACGATTTCCCATACTTTAAACTTAACAAACGGACGAGAAAACGGCCCTAGGACTTGACCCATATTTATTACTGTGGTCAGCAGTCCACGTAGCGCACCAGGAGAGTGTGCGAAAGCGACTACTAATATATAGCCACAGAATTGAAAATCTGCTGTGATGGTCCGATCGTAACGACTGATACACCAATCGAAAGGTATCGCAAAAACTAACAGGATTGCATTCCAAGACATAATCAATTTCAATTGGTTTGGGAGAGAGGGCGGTGAAAGTGCGAAGGTGAAAATTTAGAAATTTTGAGCTGTTTGGGCCGGTGGAATAAATGCTCACTCGTATTATTTTAGTTGTGTTGCTGCAATAGAAAATGCCTGTGAAGAGTGAAGAAGAACAAGGATAGAATAGTTTGTTAGTGCGGGCCGAATGAGAAAATGTTAGAAAGTGTATTTATCACTAGCCGAGTCGATCTAGCCATGTTCGTCTGTCTGTCTGTCTGTCTGTCCGTGTGTCTGTCCGAATGTTGGGATTACCCACACATGTTATTGGGCTTCCTACGCAGCGCAAGTTTTTTTCAGTCGAGGGCCACGCCCCTTCTGACGCTCACAATCTCTTTAAACGATTTTAAAAAGTGTTTTGCGCCCACACATTTAAATATTTCAGAAAAGTACAAATGCAGTTTTATTGTGTTTATCAATACCTATCGAAACGTAGACGAAATTTTTCAAATCGGACGATTCGTTAAAAAGTTATGCGCGATCAAAGCTTTATATCTCTATCTAGCTGAGTAATGGGTATCTGATAGTCGGGGCACCCGACTATAGCGATCTCTCTTGTTTTCATTTTCTTTCCCTAATTATTCTTATGAGAACAATATGATATAGTTGTCCGATCCGGCTCGTTCCGACATATATACTATCTGCTACTTTTGGGAAAGTTTTAGCCTGATACCTTAAAATTGAGAGACTAGGTAGCGTAAAAACGGACGGATAGACAGGCGGACAGACAGACATGGCTAGATCGACTCGTCTAGGGATGCTGTCAGCATCATGCTGATCAAGAAAATATATACTTTATGAGGTCTGAAACGTCTCCTTACTGCGATTCAAATTTCTGACTAAATCATAAAAAGAGAACGCTGCGATTGAATGCATCGACTATCAGACACCAGTTACTTAGCTAAGGGGAGTGCGGGGACATAAAGATATTCAAGCAGTAAGGCAACTGTTACAAAAAGGATGTTAATTGCTTTGTTTTGTTAATGGATACTTATTATATCTCTTGGTCCTTCAAAAGTTACACGAATGTCGCAAGAAAAGGATTGATTCCAATATTTATCCGCTCGTTTATTCTGGACATCCGGTGGTAAAATAATACTCCCAGTTTGTCAGTATTTAATATTTATTCCACATTTGTTTTAAATCCTTACAATATTTCGCAGTTTTTCATATCCTTGTTGTATTATGGGATTGGAGCGTATGTATTGATGTGGGGCTGCGTTAATGTGTTAACATGTCTGTTTGCGTCTGTTTGTGTTTAACATTGGTTACCGTTGCAGTTACTTTTGTGTATTTATTATTAATAACTTTCACTTAACAGCTTAAATATTCATTTACGCCTTCAACATTAGCGGGTTTTGTTTCGTTTCGTTTTTTCAATGCATATATTATTAAACTATAGTTAGCAGCTAACACGCTCCAGTATTTGTTTATTGTTTAAATTTATGTTAAGGTTTATAAAACAATTTGTCCATAAAAAACTAATTACAAATAGGCGTACATATTTATTCCACATAGTTTTCTTTCATTAAATTACATGGTTGGCCTTTAAATGAAATGTTGATTTGGTGACGAATTCGATTTATTTACAATATCCTTAGTGGTAAATTGATAAATGCAAAACGAAAGTAAATTCAGTGCCATAAACTGACGATGGAATAGTCAAAGGTGCATCTCGATAAGGTTACCTACATTTCTGTCTTTCGCTATATGTACATATTAATATTCTTTTTTTGTTCACATTAGGTAACAGTGCGGTTTGGTTTTTGTTATCATGCATCTCTTACAAATTTAATACATGCTTCATAGGCTTTGTGATTTCAGCTGATTAATTTAGTTTTAATGCTAGTCGGAGATATTTGCTAAAACATTTCAACTACTTTTTGTGGGCCATTTGAGTCAGCAATAAATCGAATCATATTTCATGATTGTACTCCTAAACACACTCCATTATTTCCTAGGTTTATTAACCCTAAACTTTAATTTTTTTTGCTGCGACGCCTATTTATTCTGGATTCATTTTTGACTCAATGTGGTTTACACTTGAATAAACTGAGACTTTGTAAGAATGTAACATAGTCACTGCTGAAATTTGTAGTAATTCAGAGTCATTAATGTGTAGAGTTTTTAATTGCTTAAAGCAAAGCGACTGCCATTAATCTGTTCACAGGACTAATCATTACGGCCGTGTTGTTTGACGGTCGATAGCCCAGAGAGAAACTGCCTATGACAGATCTAACCGTATTTAGGCTTACCTCAGACCCAAACATCATGAATTATTTTTCACACTTGATGGGTTCGGGAAATGTCTTTTAAATTATACTGCCTTCTTTAATTCAAACAAATGTATCTAACTAACAATGAATTCGTGTTAGTGTGGCTGGCAATACATACATATGGATAAGTTTAACTTTATATCTTGCTATAGTTCGTTAGATTTACGGTACTTAGAGTAATTGCTTGCAGAATTCGTAAATTTCTCGCTCATTTGGTAGGCCGCAGCGGAGTTACTGGAATAGGTATTGATTGGGCTGCTGCTGGGGCTGCTGGCAGGACCCGCAGCACTTCTCCTTGTAGCGGTGCAGTCGACACAGACCCATGGCGCGGGCATTGCGGCAGTAGCGCGAGGAATCGCGACAGTGCAGGGCGGTCGAGGACGACACTGCAGATGAAAAATCGGATAGGTTAAGGGTAATCAAGATTCAAAATAATAAAGCGGAGAAACCTCGAGTCAAATTATAATATAAAATCAATAGTTGCAATATTTTTAACTTCATCTTACAACTTGTTTAATTTAATAACTCGTTTTTCATGCAAAAACGTTTGCTCTTATCACACAAACTTCATGTAATTTACATGGAAAAACATAACATCTAAGAATTAAAGTAACATTTGAAACATTTAAAAATTTTTTATCTTGTACATATTTAGATTATGGCATTTAAGACACACCAAAATACACTTTTGAAAAATGAAACAAACTGCGGCATCCGAATTGGCCTCAAAGTTTATCACTCATACGCCCTGCTGCCTTCGATCAACGAGTTCCTTTAATCTAGGTGGCTTAGATTTCAACCAAACACTTGTTTTTTTGCTCTCCGCTTTGTAAACCAATTATTCCAACAAAATTGATAGTTTTACGAGGTGAAACATTTTTTTCGACTAAAGTTTAACTGGCCTACGTGTCTTATGAAACCTTAAAATTTCGCAACATCTAAATCTAATATTACTTCCTATTAAAAATTTATCGCTAATCTTGCTCTTCCGGAATATATAAATAACTAATTTTTTGAGGCTGTTTTTAAATGAAATTTAAAATAATTATAGTCATAAGGTACAAGAAAATCTATAAATGTTCGATACTAGCAAACGTAATTTTGTTTTATTTCTTTAAAAATAATTCAATGATAAGGCACCTCCTTGTAGAGTTTGCAAACTCTTTGCGACCACTCATCACCAATCTATACTCACTTTTGGCCTGGCAGGGCGGACTTTTGCAGACCTTCATGACGGCGGGGCGGGGCTGGTGCTTGCACACATTGCCCGCCGGACGCCGACTGCCGTACCAGACGCACTGCAGGATGCGGTACTTGATGCCCTGACGTCCGCACGGCGCATTGCACTGCAGGGCAGAGGGAAGGCATTAATATTTAACACACAACTGAAATGCGAATCGGGAGAGAGGGACCCACCTCTGACCAGGGCTCCACGCGCCACACGCCCTTGCAGCGTTCGTTGTAGCACTCCTGCCGCATCGCCGGTCGCTCGTACTCGTCGCAGGCGCTTCCCACGGTGCCGTTGTCGTAGCGACAGGTCACCTCGCGGCGCTGCACGGCCGTGTTCCTGCCGTGGCAGCGGGACCTCTGGCAGGGCGACCACTCCGCCTTGCTCCACTGCGGACAGGCCTCGTTGCCGCAGCTCTGGAACAGGTCGGGCAGGTCCAGGCCGTGGGCGGAGCACTCGGAGCCGTCCACGACATCGTTTTCGGTGTCGTCACTCGCGCCTCTTGCCTTTGCCCTCTGGCAGCTCACCGTTCGTCGCTGGGGATTGGGAAAAGAATGAGTAAGATTTCCTTATTGTATCCCACCGACCCGTGAAATAGGCAGAATTAAGGCCCCTTTGACTGTTAAAATATTTATTCCTGCACTTGATTTTATGAGGCCTTTGGAGCCGGCTCCCAGAGTCCCGTGCATTTGGCTAATTATTGCATAAATGTCGTCTTGGCTGCCTTGGGACGCATTTCTCTTTCTCTTTTATGATATCCTGTTTGCTTTGGGAATAAGGCACTTTTTCTTGAAGCGAATAGGTTAAATATTTAGTACTTGAGATAACCGGAGTGAAATTCACTTTAATATTGTATTACATTTCTGTGATAAATTCAAGACAGTAGGTAACCCACTCCCAGTACTTGCGTATCGACCTAGTCCGAAAACCACTCCTAATATTGAATGCCCCGGTGCTCATTAATCAGAAGAGAAGCCACCTTGCTCCTGACAGCCCATCAGCCAGCACTCCACTCACCTGCAAACCGCTGCCAGCTGCTCCGCATTCCTGCGAGCACTTGGACCACTCGCCCAGCAGCCATTTGTAGACGAAGCCGTTGCTCTCGAGGCTCGGAACAGCCGTTGTCGTGGTTGCCGCTGCCGTTTCCCATCGAGCATGCGGCATGTGCGGCGGGATGTCCTCCGCCTCCTCCTCGACCCCCTTGGATTCCTGGTTCGAGTCAGGCGAATCGGTGCGAATGGGTCCTGCCTCGGTGTGCAGCTCCTTGGCGGGCACACGGACCGGCTCGTCCTGTTCGAAGTGGGAGCCTTCCAAATCGACGCCGTACTTGAGTGCCTCGCCTTGGAGGATGTGCTGACCACGCGAGTCCTTGAAGCGCTGCAGCGGCCATAGCAACTGTGGAACGGGGGAGAGAATCGTTAGCCTCGTCGTTGGAGAATTCACATATACGCATCTCAGGGCCCAAAAGCCTTTCGTGTTGTTGTTGTTGTTGTTCGATATGCCAGGCTAAACTTCAGTGCTCGACGGCCACCGCATTTCCGTTTCCGCTCTCCTGACGACCATCGATTTACTGCACACATATATGTGCCGGGCAGGTGGTTAGGTTTGGGTGGATTGGAAAGGGGAAGGCGGTTAGGTGGGATGTTTCATGCATGCACACTTGAATTACCCTCATCAATTGCTTCACGTTGACTGACTGCGAACTGCGAAATCCGATTAGCCACTGAACCTACGAACGGGATGCTGCAAACCGTCCCCTTTATGCGCCCTCTAATTTCCCCCTTTCGGTGAGTTGCGGAAATTTGACTACCAAATGCAGCCGTGGGTTTTTCGTCCGAAAATTCCCTGTCAGCGGGCTAACTGGGTTTGCTAAAGCCCACCTGGATTAGATAGCTGTTTTGGTAATCGTGTTTCTGTGGGCTTTTTACTACTCTAGGTGCTGGTAAATATAGCTCTTACCGATTTAAATTTAATGTATTCTGTTGTTTGTAACTTTGATATAGGAATAGTGTTTTTATCTCAATATAAATTATCTTTAATAAACATGATTCCCAAATTTCCCATTTCGCCCTCAGTTCAATCTTCAAAGTTCGGATATAATCCTAAATTCCATTTTTCGAATGTCGTAAAGTCTCATAATTTCGTGTGCGGCACGAATCTCCAACCTATATCCCAAAAATTGTCCTTTGCACTTCGACTCTGCTGGTAATTCCGAGTCCCCCTGCTGTTTTCCCCCCAACTCATTGTCAAACTCTATGGTCCTGCCAGCCTCGACGTCATTTCTCTGGTCGTTTGCATTTACAGCTGCCCAGTGCCGATGCCGCAGCACAGGATTGGGTGGGTGGCTCTGGTTTGGTTCGGGGTTCTGGGAGCCGAGGCTCACAAAGATGATTTCCCAAGTGCCACTTGAAACCGACAAATGCGCTTGCATAGTTTCTGTTGTTGGCTGCATCTGCTGCGCTTTTATGTGCCGCTCCCCCTTTGTCATTTGTTGGCCAACAAGAGCCGGAGCGACAATGACAATGACGCCTCCTCCATTGCCTTTTATTGTTGTCACCGCAATCGGAATCGTTGCCCGTTGTTCCTGCTTGCCTCTTGTCAATATTGCAGCATTCTGGAGTGGGTGCTGCATTCGAGGTATTTTCGGGGATTTCGGGTGTTTGCCAGTTGGCCAGGCCAACGACTGCCATGCGTTTCGCCTGTGCAACTGTAATTAGCACACAGTTCTCGCCCTGCTTTTGCCAAACAAAGTAGCCAGATTATTGTTGCAACTTGCAAATGTAATGGCAATTTGGTAGATGCATAGAGCGGAAGTGTGGTTGCCGTTTCTGCCTGAATAAATAGAAGTCCGTTCTAATCAGAGACGTCTTATCAGGGAGGACAAGTAGAGAGCGCAAAGTTTTGAAGTCAATTCGATTACAGTGCAACAGGAATAATATTACCCATACCAGTTATTTCTACACACAAATCGATATGCGCATTTCTGCGCATGTAAATTTTGTATTACTTATACGCATATCGATTTACCATGCAATGCTGGTAAAATCGATATTAATAAATGTCATTTCCTTGATTTCTCTCTCGGAGATTCTCAGATTTTGAAATAAGTGAGAAAGAAGCAATATGGTGACCTAAATTACGTGAGTGTGAGCGAGAATAACCCACTCCATTCGAAATAGAGCGGGAAAACGCTTAAAGTTACATGAGTGGGAGGGAGAAAAACACATCCGAAATTCGAACTGGCTTACTTAGATCATGTTGTTTACATTTCGAGCATATCGAATTAAGATGGCAAATCAATAAAGACAACATTGATATAAGATAATATCAAACTGATCATCTTTTCATATCAAAATGTTGTATTTGGGTGTAATTTATTTGTGCAATATTCTTGCTCATGGTCCGTTGGTATTTGGTACAGAAACTTAGCAATTTTTATGAACACCTCATAAATATCCGCATTAATATCTCTGACTTTGACTGTTAATTATGTGCTAAAGTTTCAACGACTTCCAGTCGCCTTCCCCGTCCCAGGATTTAGCTGCATTCAATATATACAGCACAGACTCATTAGCAAGTTTTGCACATTCGAACAGCTAGCTTTGGACCACGCACATCGTTAAATTCTCACGCCTGACAGGCGAACCCAACGTTTGCTGCCGGAGACAGACCCTAACCAAACCGAACTGAAGTAAACCCAGACCAAAACCCAACCCAACCAAACCAAACAGAAGCGAACCACGAAGCGGTGCAGTTTCCGACTGAAATGTGTGTCATTTTGTTTAATTTAAGTTTAAATGTTACCAGCAGAACGCGCAGTTTGCAAATAAATAAAAACAAGCACTTCCAGAAAAAAAAAAGAAATGCAGCAAATGGCATGGAGTTTAAGTGGAGCGCGGCTAAAATGCCTCGGAGGCGGAATGCAGCGGATGCTGTATCCCACATCCTGCAGCCTCCCATCCTGCCATTAATAAATAGTTGCAATCAAAATTAAAAGCCAGCATTCTGCTTGTTTTAAATCATTTACGCCCGACATGACGAATATGTGGCACCAGCAGGCCATGGTTGAAAGGCTACCCCGGTCTCTGGAAATTTATTATCGCGCTTTGGCACCCAGCATTGCATCACCATTGCCCCAGCTAACCAGCTAAATTTGATGTTTGGTCGGGAATAGAAAGAAATTAGATGTTTGGAGTGGGCCTAGGGTAGCGTAATTAATAGGCCGAATGTTGGGCCATAAATTATGGCCACCAAAAGACGAGGCCAGCCTGCAGTTACTTAGCTAATTAGGAATGCGCCAGGCAAACTAAACCGTACTAACTAACTCGTTTCATCGATGACCATGATGAGAATGCATTATCCTGCCCGGGCAATAAGTTGTATTCCGCAAGCTAATCAATGGAATAATTCAGGTGCCAGCCCAGTAGCCATAGAAATCGAAATCCACAGCCTTATTAGCAGGACGATGACGGCACAGAGCTACTAATGAGCAGCTCTCGGAATCCCAGTCCCGCAGGCAGCAATGCAATTAAACATGAAATGGCCGAGATTTGCATTCATAGATATCCTAAGAGAAGCTCATGAATGAAATGGACGTTTATGGCCTCGATAGAGACCTTAACACTTTGACTTAAAAGTGAGTGGAATGGTTCGAAGAACAAATTCTATTGTGCTCAGATAGAAGATGGGCTCAAGTGATTTAATTAGTTCAGTAGGCAAAGAAAGTAAATAATCGCGTTAGCACTTAACATATTTGTTATATATAGATATATCTATTCAGAAGCGGATTAAGAATCTTTTGGTCACCTTGGAGAATATTCAATTATCAATTTATCAACAAAAAGCACGGTTATGATTATTCCTTAGTTATACTAAAAAGTTAAATAAGAAAGGAAGCTAGTCTTGGCAAATCAAGGTGTATTTAGCCCCTAAAAAAGGAATTAAAAAAACGTTTCAAGTTTCAAAAGTTTCTTTACAAATTTTGTTTTTTTATTTTATGACTTTTTTGATTTGGTTTGATTTTCATTTCCATTTCATATTTGCTATGTGCGATTTCTGAATATATAACGCATATGCGTTCTATTAGACTAGATATAATTGCCTTTGCTTATTCCAGAACTCTAAAGCCGATCAAGATATTAGCTCATAAATATTGCAATTAATTTGTTTGCAAACTTCCTCGCCTGCATAACTCTAATTGCCAGTATCAACAAATGAACGAATTTCCGCGCGTTTTGCATTGCATAAAAGCCTTATAAAGTTTGGCTTTAAAGTGCTTTCATGGCGGCTAAATGAAATGCAAATATATTAAATATTTAACAATTATGAGAAATTACTATTATGAGCAGCCAGGCGCAAAAAGCGAGAGACAGAGGAGGGATGCTGACGCCGCAGAGAGTTAATCAAAGCGCCGCAAACTTTCGACCCAAATTGTTTTATTGTCACCCACATAAAAACGTCCCCGACAGCCGGCATATGGGACAATATGAGTGCGTATCTGTCGCCATTCAAACCACTGCATATTTTTAGTGGTTTGCGTGTTGGTGGCTCGCCACGAGAATTTGCAACAAAAATGCTGCCAAAATTAGTTATAATCGCTCTCTCTATTTAGATGATTGTATCAGTCTGCAGATAGTGTGGGGCTTACAATTTTCCGGTAACTAGCTTTGATAAATGCCGCCCGAAAGTGTCGTCCTATCACAGAACCCACCTCATTCCGTCAGCATCCGCAGATCCTGCACTCAAAGTTCCTGGTTGGGCTTTGGCTAGTCTGCCGGATCCTGCGACTCGCCTGGCCCGGCATCATAAATTATTTTTGCCTAATCTGCATACTGCGATAGGAACGTCTACTCAACTCTGCCAGCAGTTCAGCGTTCGGTCGGTTTGTGTGGTAATATTTTCAGTAAAAGGTTTTTCAACGGATGAAGAGTCCTACTGTTGGGATACACAGCACAGTGCAAGCGAAAAGTATTGTGTCAGTATTCCTTCCATATAAATTTATTTTTATACCCGTTACTCGTAGAGTAAAAGGGTATATTGTATTCGTACAAAAGTATGTAACAGCTAGAAGGAAGCATTTCCGACCCTTTAAAGTATATATATTCTTGATCAGGGTCACTAGCCGAGTCGATATAGCCATGTCCGTCTGTCCGTCTGTCTGTCCGTATGAACGCTGAGATCTCGGAAACTATAAAAGCTATAAGATTGACATTTTGCATGCAGATTCTAGGAGTTCCTACGCAGCGCAAGTTTGTTTCAAAAGCGTGCCACGCCTCCTCTAACGCCCACAGCCGCTTATATACGATTTTAAAAATTTCAATATTTCGGAAAAGTAAAAATGCAGTTTTATTGTGTTTATCAATACCTATCGAATTGTAAAAGAAATTTTTTAAATCGGACCATTCGTTAAAAAGTTACGGCGGACCAAAGTTTTTTCTCCATCTCCTTCGCACTCCCTTTAGCTGAGTAACGGGTATCTGATAGTCGGGCACTCGACTATAGCGTTCTCTCTTGTTTAGATTTTATCAAATAAAAACACCTCTTAACGAGGTAAAAAACTAGTGACGACCGCACCTTCAACATACAAAAGTTCTGATATCAACATTTGTGACGAAAAATTATTACACTCGTCATTAAATAGACTTTCTAATATTTTCTCATTCGGCCCGCCTTAGCAACTATTCCAGCCTTATTCCCTTTACAGGCATTTTCTATTGCAGCGTGACGAATGAGAAAAGATTAGAAAGTCTATTTAATGACGAGTGTAATAATTTTTCGTCACAAATGTTGATATCAGAACTTTTGTATGTTGAAGGTGCGGTCGTCACTAGTTTTTTACCTCGTTAAGAGGTGTTTTTATTTGATATCAGAAGTTTTTGTTTGTTTACATTTGCTCTCATAGGAGCTAATATATACATTTAAATTTAAATTGGTCAATCATAATTTTTAAACTATTGTATTTTAACAAATTAAGTTAAAAAGGCGTTGAAGTATTTCAAAATACCTTTTAAACGAGGTATAGCACATGTCTGTGCCTTTAGTAGTGTAGAACTTACAAACTAACGAAATGTAGCTATTTTTAGCTTTTTCCCGCTAAAGTAGCGGCTTTTTCCAAAAGTCGTAGAACAAAAGATTCCTATATGGAACTCTTAAGTGCAAATTTACTGATTCCATGACCCTAAAATACAGTTCGGATACCCTCCCACAAAATTCAATACTCAGGGAGCGTTAATTGTTCGAGGTGGCAAAAGTGGCTATTTTCGTATAAAAATAACTTTTAAACGTGACTTTTTACAGTAATGTGTTATATACCAAAATTTAAGGAATCTCAAGGGCTATACAGTTTAAGGTTTTAAAGAAAATCGTTAGAGCCGTTTTTGAGAAAAATAAAAAAAGCTAAAAAAAAGTTTTAAAAAATTCTCTTTTGTTCATATTTTTTTAATTATTACATTTACACAAATTGCATATAGAAGGCGTTTATAGCATTTAAAAATACCTTTCAAACGAGATGCAGCACAAGTCTGTAGCTTTAGTAGTATATAAGTTACGGATTTCAGAATTTTAGCTATTTATAGCTGTTTTCCCGCTAAACTAGCGAGTTTTTCCAAAAGTGGTAGAACAAAAGTTTTTCATATCGATGTGATGAACGTTATATCAAATTTTCAAAACTTAAAAAACATGTTTTGGACAAACTGACAAACAGAATTAAATTTTCATTTTGGGAAGAAGAAGAAAATATTATTTTGGCTCTAACTTTTGAACGGAGCGTCGGATTTTATCATATGACCCCTCATTCGACGGGAATTTTCAATAGAAAAACTACTAAAACATTGCGAGGGGGCATTTATTCCCACCGGCCCCAACAGCTCCAAATTTCGAAATTTTCATTTTTTCACTTTCACCGCTCTCTCTCCCAAGCCAATTAATTTTCTTAGAGTCTTGGTATGCAATCCTGTTAGTTTTCGCAATACCTTTCGATAGGTGTATCATTCATTATGATCGGACCATCACAGTAGATTTTCATTTCTTCGTGTATATATAGTAGTCGCCTTCGCACACTCTCCTGGTGCGCTTCGTCACTACATGGACTGCCGTCCATAGTGATATAAGTATAAGGAAACCCACATTTCGTCCATTGAAATTTATCTCTTTTATCTAGTTGTTTTATTGGTACTTAAATATTTTACCAATACAATATATTAAACGAAATCTTGCGTTCTTTTTTTTTAATATAATGCGATAATTAGAGCACTTACTCACCAGCGTTCAGCAACATTTTGTCTGAACTGTGTCTACAAATCAGATGGTGATGCTTGCCGTCGTGTCTCATTTTTATGGTTAAACTTTCCTACGCTTAGTCAAAATACTACCCAGCTAGTCTCAACGGTTTAATTCATTTTTTATTGCATTATAAATTTTAGTTAAAAAACCGCGACCAAGCAAAAGTGCACATGGTCTCGAAAATTATCTGTTGGCAGGTAAAGAGGCAGCGACGCCATTGACTGATAGCTAAATTCTAAGCCAAAATTTGTTTTTTTGGCATTATTCAAATAACTTTTGTGTGGTGAAAGGGGAAATGGACAAAGTTGCAGAGGGACGGGAGGGTAAAATCGCCCACCGAATGGGTCGCGGTGTAAAGAATTAACAAATTAAGTTTATAAAAAAGTTGTCTAAACTGTTCGTTGTGCAGAAAAGTTTCTATAAATTTTACAACGGTTTCCGGACAGTTGGCGGTGGCAGCAGCACTTACCTAGCCAGCAAATCAGTCAACAACACACCAACGAAAAGCTATGGGCACTTTTGGTGTAAATATTATTAGTTTTAATTAGTAATAGTAACAGGTAAACAATATATCGAAATTAACACTGTAAGTATTTGAATATATGAGTTTTTATCATGCATAGTTGGAACAATGAAAAACAATTTTCCGATTTAAAAATTAAATTTAATGGCAGGGCCATGAAATCATGACATGTTTCATTAGACAAGGAAAATAATTTATATTTTAATTGTGCTAAATAATGGCTTGATAGTGTATCAAAAAATAAATGAAGCTAAAATGAATTATGTCTGATAAAATTTTAGTCCATATCAATTTCAGTCAAACATTAAGTTGGTTTTAATATATGCCTAAAACTACAAATGAAATAATTGTTTAATATGAAAAAATTGTAACTTGCTGTTCTTGATTTATTGTAATCTGAATTTAAATGAATTGGTTTCTTTTTATACTTGTCGATATGTTTTTTGGTACTTTAAAATCATTTGCATATGTTAATTATTTTAAACAGTTATTTAATGTTGAATTGTGGAAGTGGAAAACATTTGATTAGTTTTTTGGCACAGCACTATAATAATAATGAAATGTAGCATGTTTGATATGAATAACTATTTAAAATGTATACATTAAGCTTTTTTTAATAGTAGCAGGCAAATTTATACTGTCATATTCGAATAGGTATTTTGATGAAATTTTTCCATCACATTCCTGGCCAATTTTCAGCTGCTAACTTGCCAAAAGGCTTTTTAACGGCAGAAGTCGACTTTATCATGCTTTGGGTGGGGACTGAAGCTTCTTTTACCTATTATGCCAATTGTTTGCTCATTTCACAATGTACAAAATGCATACAAAAAGCCAGCAAAAAATGTCTTTGATGGCAGGCGCGCAAAAAGTTGCCCGAGGGCAGATACCAGAAGGAAAAGGGGAAAGTTTTGTACAAAATGTTTAATTAAATATTTCGCGATACCAATTGGGCAGGAGGGACTCAAGGTTATCAAGTAAACTGTTTACGCGCCGAGTGTAGAGTGAGAAGTGTTTAATGTGTAGTGGAATCAGGCAAAAAATGTTGTATTTATCGGAAAGTTTTACCTACGTTGCATTCGTTTTGTTTAGGGAGTTTTCGGAATTGGTTCCCATTTTGTTATTTTGGTATGTTGTTTGTGTTGTACAATATATTTCAGAGGGCCCCCGAACAAACCGAACAGCAAAGAAAAATATTGATGTCGGTATATGTAAAAAGAAAGACAAAAATCGGTAAATCATTGTTGAGAGTGGGGGAATATATTCACATCTGATTCAACCTCATCTGTAACTGATCATGCAATAAAGTGCAAATGTGCAAATAAATCACAACAATTCACGACCTTAAAAATAATGTATGAAACTATTAATAAATAATAAGTTTACTAATTCAAAGCTCAAATTGAATATTTTTAACTGGCTTCTTTAAAACTATAACTTTTTCAAAATAATTGTTTAGATGTGATTCTTTCCCCAAGAATCAATTATAATTTTAGTTTGTGCAAACAATGCATATTTGTAGTTTTATCAGTTTTTGATTCCTTAAAGTTATTCCAATTAACTCTGACTTATTGTGCACTCTACTCTAATCCTCTTATACGAGCATCAGTATATGTATAGGCTAAAGTTTGGAATCGGGGCCAGTTTAACTTCTTATTCCCCAGCTTATTAAAGTGTCAGCATATTTAAGCCAATTGCAGCAAAGTCACCGCAAACTAAACATTGATGTCAAACAACGAAACATGCACAACAAATAGATAATAACAGCGAACATGTGTACGACGACAAAGCTTGGCTAACAATCCTCTAACTTATTCGACCGATTTTCAGTTTCGCCTGCACTGTCATTTGACAAATTGGCAACGACTGCTCGACAAAGAGGCCCAATCAAATCCGACTGAAGACAAATATGCACACGTTGCCCAATTTATATGCAGCACTTTCCCAATTTGCACGGCCTACGCCCCCGTTACGCCCCCTTGAAGTGCACTAATTACACGCATGCAAGGCAAATTTCGTGGAGATTCTGAGATACAATGAATGTGTGTGCCTCCTGGAATTGCGGAATTAATGAAATGAAAGCAAACAAACCAAAAATCGACTGAAATCAGGGAATAGCATACGAGCGTCCAAGGCAAGAAATGAATGAGTGTAAATAAAAAGCAATCGGCAACGGAATGTGAGTTTGTTGTCGAACCAAAAAGAAGGGAGCAACAAGAGCGCTGGATGACAGGGCGAAATAAACGAACCGCGGGTTGCATAAAGGATGCGTCTCACCTGGAGGTTGCTGAGCAGAGCCTGGAAGTACGGCATGGCCAGCAGAGTCCTGGTGCGACCACTTCCGCTACTGGCGCTCGCCGGCTGCGGAACCCTGTCCTCGGATTGCACTAATTGCGAATGCTGCCGATGCACGCCGCACACGCAGATGCAGGTTTGGATTGGATTGGGATTCGGTTGGGGTTTGGGTTGGGTTAAGGAAGAAATATGGCGAAAATAGTTATTAAGTGTGACGTTATTTATTAGCAATATGTTTGGGTCTAAAGTTATGGCTATGCCGATATGGATATGAGCGTAATATATTATGGGAGATTGTGCTGGGGCGACAGATGAAGTTAAGTTTGTTAGTGGGAGCGGGGAAGTAGTGGAGAGCAATCAAAACGGTTCAACCTGAAAGCGAAGGCATTTAATTCGGAGCCAATATATAGGAATATTAGTTAAACAAGAATCCCTGATGCTAAATCCCCTATACCAGCTACTCAGATAAATCCTTCACACTTCACACCTTTTAAATTCCCAATATCCAATGGAGTTTCCTTTACAACTTTGTTTTGCTTATTTAACAGAATTCGATTTTTCCTTGTCCATAATACTATTTCCAATAACAGAAATTCACAATTCCTCCCATCGGCTACAACTCAAACTCAATCAAGGTATTTACGCTAATTCTTGGCTGCCTTTTTCACCAGAGGACGACCTGAAAGCCAGCGCCCAGAATCATTCGCCAGACAAACAGCAATTTGGGCAGGTAGTGTTGGCCCAGGCGACCGAAAAAAGAGATTCGAATCCTTATTACTTCCCCTCCTCGAAACAAGGACAAAGGCGGCAGAGTCTATGCCTCATCTATTGTTGTTTTCGACGGAATTGCAGGAGTATTCGTTTGCCTTTCTCTGCTCCAATCCACTCTGCTCGGCTTAGCCGAATTCGGTCCTCTCCGGCAGGCAACTGTACGTATACGTAATTTCATTCTATAGGGCATTATATGTTTGGCCAGTCGAAACAGACACACAAAGCGAGACAGAAACAGAGAGATAGAGAGAGGGAGAGAGGCAGATACAAATCTAAACTGCCAACAGTTGGCACAGATATTTATTCTGTTGATATGAGGCAACCCAAAAGAAATGGGGAAAGCCAAGTGGAAAAACTATCAAATTACGTAGATGTTGACATAGGAGCAAAGGGAGCGACTGAGACCGCAAATCCAATGCAACGACGAAATTGTGTAAACTCCGAAGGGACGACGTGGGACCACGACATTCGCACGTTTCCGGAACATATTTAAAGCGTTTGTAAGCCCGGCAACGACGTTGATCGAGTGGGACAGTCATAACGGATCCGAATCCGAGCTATACTCACATCGTCCTCCATAATGCTGCTGTCCGCGTGCTGAACTCCGTCCGACTTGGGCCTCCGGTTCCGTTCCCTGCCGTTCTGCAAACGCTCCGACTGCTGCTGCCTGCGACGATTTCCCTGCTGCTGCGTCGACCTGGAAAAATTTGAAAAATAAAAGAAGAGCAGGGCATTAAAACCAAACGTCTAATGTTGGGCCAGGATTCTAGCTCAGTTTCTCGGAGCTGCAAGATGTCAAATGCAGATTTCCGTTCCCACACCCACAAAGACCTGCCGACCACCCTTCTTGACCGAACTCCCACCTTCCTCATTCACTAGTTTCCTTTATAAGGGCGTTAAAAGTTGCCGTTTTCAAGAGTCATTGGTGGAGAAAAGTGCTTGTTTGAGATGCCTTTGAACTGGTTGCTTTTGGGAATGCCCATGCATAGTGAAGCCCCCTTGGCAGCCATTTATGTTTGGCTATTGAAATTTGTTTAAAAGTCGACAAATAAGATGTTTTATTGTAAAATATTCTTAAAGTCCCTTTTGAAATGAAATTTGACATAAGCCGGACAGCTTAAATACAACATTTTTAGCTTAGTTTTTAAGTGCTTTTATTTTATTAAACAATAAAATAACTACATCATTGTGATTACATCAAGGATACCTAAAATAATCATTGTCTATCACCACTACCAATTAGGACTATTTTAATTTTTACACTAATACCTTAATCTTCTTAAAATTCTGATAGATAAATATAAATTATAAAAACGCATAAATATAAAGTTAGCTCTGCCAAGTATTAGAATTTATTTACCTTGTGGGTAATTTAAACGTAATTTATCACTCAATTTATATATTCCTGAGCATTTATTTACTCACAAATTTGCCTTATATATTTGCACACACTTGCGTTGCAATTCACTTCCAGCCGTCTGTTTAAATTCCCCTTGTGGGGCAACATAAATAATAACTTAAAAGTAAAACACCGTAACAATATATCAAAAAAGCATTTTGTGCCCTCACCAAGTGCCGGTCAAAAGACCAAAATCCAGCCCACTAAATATAGCCCTTCTCGCAAATATTTGCATATTTTCCGTATTGCAGAAAATTGACAAAAATAGTTCACGTTTACTGTGTGTGCAACGTTCGAAAAATAAAAAAGGAACGCAGGGCAAATATTTTCCTACCGCAAAGATATAAAATATGTATTTTAAATATTTAAAATACGATCAAACATGAGCCCCCATCTTCCCTGTACTCCGAGATACATTTTGATATTTTGTTTCTACACAGTCCACGCAAAAGTTGTGCCACGCTTTTCACGTCCGTCGACAAAGTTGATGATGCATTCGAAAACCAGAAATACCGCCGTAAATTTGAAAACCTTGCTGTTTGGGGGGACGGCGAAAAGCCTGCGGCTTTGCCAAAATGCATTTTCCTGTTGGCTGTTCGCTTTTAACCATTTAAGTTAAGCAGGGAGGGGGTGGGGGAACGTACACGATTGCAAACATATGGAATTGTTGTCCCCATACAGGCGCATATATAAATGGCACATCTATGTAGGCAGGTATTCTGTGTAATTTTTGGCATGTTAAACTTCTAAACCAACCAAACACGTAACCGGAATTGCGAAATAAACCGCGCACACGTGTGCGTGGATTTGCAGTTTTGGAGAGGTGGGTGTGAAAGGGTAGCTGGGTTACTAGAGGGGTGCTCGTGAATGGTTCAGGTACTCAATAGAGTTAAACGTTCAAGTACTTTGGAGGGAAAGCATGTGAAATTGAAGTTGCAAGCAGCATTCAGCATTTAACATTGAAACCCCCTGAGCTTCAGAGTAAATAAAGTCCGAAAATGTTTTTAAACGAATTAGCAATGCCCTTAAATGTCGTCGAAAAAAAAAGAATCTTAAGAAATCCATCCAATAAGCTTAATATTGTTAGGAGTAGCAAAAGACATGCCTAGCTCCGAGTATCCTTCACTGGCAAAAAGGATAACAAGCCACGTGAACATAAAGTGTCATAGCCAACTTTTGTTAGTGGTTTCCCCTAAGAGGAGGCTGCTATAAGCAAAGGTAAGCCAACTAGGTAACCGTAAAATTTACTTAGAGTTTGTAAGGTATTCCTTATTTTCTGTTGTTGTTTAAGCGCATAAAACTTTAATGCAAGGGAAAGGCAAATACAAATACAGCAGGTGGGAAAAAGTGGGAAAGGTGTGTTGGATATAACACTTAGGCAGCGACCAACGATGGTAACACGCATACGCAGCGTGGGCCAAAGGAGTGGAATGGAGTGGAGTGGGCGAGAACGGAAGAGCATCTATATTAAGACAAGACAGGAGGATGAAGCAAGTGCATAACTGACCACTGCTAAGCGGTTGCCACTTTGCCGCAGCAGTAAAGGCGCGAATATTGCTGTTATGTTTCCAAACGGAACTCGAGAAAAAGGAGGAAAATATAAGGAAGCACAAGCCGGTAATAATGGACAATCTGAAGAGTCAGGGACGGTTGAAGTCCAAGGGGGATAGTCCCAGTCAGAGATTAGGTTAGAGCAAGGATGTTGTTAAGCGGCTGCAGGAACGTCGCACAGTGGCGCCTTGGGCCAAAAAACGTGCAATAAATCACTTTTTCGACTTTGTCCTAGAAAGTTGTGACCCATACCAATCGACAGGTAATTGATCCACTATTACAAATATGTAACCCTTTTTCAAATCAAAAAATTTTTGTAAAAGATATGAATTTTCAAAGTTGAACAATTTTTCACTTAAAAAAAACACACCGTTTTTAGGTAATTTTTCGCACTTCCGGGGGGTTTTTCTTAAAAACTAGGTATCGAATCGCTTTGCTTCTTTTTTCCACGGATTGGTGTGTTAGTTAAGAGTAAAAAAAGTAAAACATATTGCAGTTTGCCATGCGCATCTCTTAGTTATGAGTTATTTGCGAAACGTCCATTTTTTCCATATTTTTCAACTTTGATGGAAAATAAAAAAAACTATTTAATACTATTTTTTTATACTTCCGTAAAACGTTATTTGGACTTTCTTCTTGATATTACGAAAGTTGTAGCTGCGTCCGCCTGCGTCCGCGGTTTTAAGAGCCAAAAAAGGGAAAAAAGTCATGGTCCCAGAAATTGCATATGGCGCAACCTTGTGAAAGATTTGTCCAAAACATGGTTTTAAAGTCCTGAAAATGTTATATGATGTTCAACAGCTCGATATAAGAAATTTTAGTTCTACCACTTTCGGAAAAACTCGCTACTTTAGCGGGAAAACAGCTATAAATAGCTAAAATACGGAAGGCCGTAACTTCTAAACTACAGAAGCAACAGACTTGTGCTGTATCTCGTTTGAAAGGTTTTTAAAAAAGCTTTAAGCGCCTCCTAAATGTAGTTTGTGTAAATGTAATATTGAAAAGATATGCACAAAACAATTTTTTTTTAAATTTTTTTGTTTAGTTTTTTTTATTTTTCTCGAAAACAGCTCTAACGATTTTCTTTAAAACTTTAAACTGTATAGCCCTTGAGATTCCTTAAATTTTGGTATATATCATGTTACTGTAAAAAATCACGTTTAAATAAAATAGCCACTTTTGCCAGCTCAAAACAACTTACGCTGCCTAAGCATTGAATTTAGTATGTGCGAATCCAAACTGTATTCTAGGGTCATGGAATCACAACCTTGTCACAGAGTTAGAATCTAGTAATTATAGTCCAGAAATGTTAAGTCTATTGGATTTACCAAGTTTACCAAATTGTGACCATTATTTCAAAAAACATGAAATATAAAAATTTTTATTTTTAAAAAAAAACTTTAATTTTTTTTTTTTTTTTTTTAGTTTTTAAAAATTAAAACATAAAAAAATAAACTAAACAAAACGTAATTTTTAAAAAAAAAAAAATTTTTTTTTAAAAATTCCAATTTTTTATTTATTTTTTTTTAATAAGTTTTAAAAATTACAACATGAAAAAAGAAACTAAAAAAAACAAAAACTTTTTAAAAAAAGTTTTTTTTTGTCGGAAAAAAATGGATTTGTTTTTAAATTCTGACTTTGCCGATTTGTAAGTACGCCTCTGCCACGCCCACTCCCTGTCTCAAGCAATAATTTGAAAGGTGGATCAATTATCTATCATTTGCCGTTTACAAAATTCAATTATCTTCACTGGTTCAAAAGTTATGATTTATTACCAAAAAAAAGTCAAAAGGCGCCACTGTGCGTCGGCGAGGGGGAAAAATGCAAAGTGCCCAAGGAAAGCTGTCATTTTGCTTTATGCCGGGAAAATGAAGGATGTGAAAATGGACTTCACTAGTAACTTTATAATCGGAAGCGCCATTTGCAAATAAAAAAGCTAGGAAGATGATTTCCAGAGCTGCTAACCCCTTTCCTGGGGCACAAGTTAATATGTCATATTAAAGCCAGTATCCTCTTTAAATATTCCTGTTTGTTTGTAAACAGCTACAAAAGTCCTAAAATAAAAATGTATTATAAATTCTGGGCTTTACATCCTAGTATGAACTCCAAAAATGACTCTCCTCAAACAGGGATTTAAAACATAAAAAACTCTATGCAATTACTAAATCTTTTAAAATTATACAATGACTTTCTTCCATTATTATAAAATCTAGCCTACCGTATCCAAAAGCATGGTACTAGTCTTTCATTTATTTAAAACGAATTAAATGCACCTTTTTGAAATTGTGTTAATAATTTTCATGTCACTAAGTATAAGTAATAGCTTGCATACAAAATTCTACCTCAACTCTTTTTATTATCAAATTCGGCCGACTGGGCCAGTAGATTTACACGCAACCTGCCCTATCTGGAACTGCTCCAAAGTAAGAAGTTGAGCGAGAAAACTTTTGCCAGAAGGTCGCACGACAGGCCGCTTACTTACCCATTAGCGGGGCCATCAGTTCCAGCTCCACCGGAAGTGCCTGTCCCTCCCGCCGACGTCATGTCCGCTGAAGTGAGAGCCTCCGTGTCGCTTCGCTCACGCACCAAGCGATCTAGAAAAATAAAGGTAAGTAGAGGGGCAAGCTTTACTTAGACAAACTGGCTCATTAGGGAGATTTATGAGATAAGGTACAAGGTACATGCAGATATTATTATAAAATAAATAAAATCACTTTTTATTGGCCTTGACCAAAATGATGCTACTGAAAACAAGTCTTAATGTCATTGAACAAGAGAAATTCTTCTAAAAAATATTTAAAGTAAATATGAATAACATCTAATATTTTCGACCTATGTATATATTTACAAATCTATTTTTGCAAATATTAAATATCACGTTATCGTATTTCATTCAAATGTTTAGAACTTCAAATCTTTGCATTAAATATGCAGATCATTTTCCTTTTTAACCGCGGCATTTAGAATTTCTTACAAAAGTCCATTCATGAATTGTACTTTTACCTTTCAAACTCACTTCCCATTACTGTCTTTGGGAGTAACACTTTGTACTGATTACCCACCTGCCTCCTGTCGCTCCAGCTCCTCGGCCTGCTGGCCCGGCTTGGCCTTCACCTCGATGCTGATTTCCGCGGAGCTCAGTCCGGCGTGGCAGGAGTAGACTCCGGCATCGCGGAACGTGATATCGAGTATACGCAGGGCGCCCTTCTTGGACACCTTGAACTTTCGCGAACGCTGCAGCGGCTTGTGATCCTTGCTCCACTTGATCTTGGTGCGATTGTACCGCTTCACAGGGCACTTGATCTTCACCTGGGTGCCGAAGAAGACCACCCCGGCGCCGCCCACCTTCAGGGTGATCTTGGTCTTCTTGGGATCGTGCTGGATGTGCGTGGAGTTGCTGATCTGGATGACGGGCTTGGGATCCTCCGGCGGGCAGGGCTTTACGTTGCAGGGCTTTTTGTCCGCCGGCTTGGCACTGGGGCACATCGACTCGGGTCGCTCGATCTTGTGCTCCTGGGCCATGATCTGCTTGCACTCGACCTTGCGATCCTTGAACCCGTAGCCGCAGGTGTGCGAGCACTTGGCCCACTCGCCCACCTCCCAGCGAACGGGGCAATCGAGAACGTTGCAGTACTGCCGATCGGCTGGCGGCGGCTGGGGGCACATGCTGTTCGGCACCACCATGGTGTTGTCGCCGCCGCGGGTCACCTCGTGGATGCACTGCACCTCGCGGGTCTTGATGCCAATGCCGCAGCTCTTGGAGCAGGGCGTGTAGTCCGAGTAGTTCCACCTGGGCGGGCAGGGGCGATCGTTGCAGGTGCGAACCCGCGCCTCCGGCTTGGTTTCCGGGGAGCAGAGGAAGGGCGAGACCACCCGGCCATTATCCTCCCGCACGCAATTGATGATCAGCTCCTCGACGCCCCCGAGGCAGGAGGCACTGCAGGAGGTGTAGCCCTGCTCCCGCCACACGTACGTCTTTCCCGGCTCCGAAACACCCACTTTGATGGAGTCCCTGGGGAACTGCTCGTCGAAGCTGTGCGAGGGCAGCATGCAAGGCTCCTCCGCACATCGGTCCACCTCGTCATGCGGTTTCTTGCCCTCGCATAGCGAGTCGTTCACCGTGGCCACCGTTCGGGAGTATTCCAGGAAAATCTTGCAGTTGTAGGCCCGTCGGCGGATTCCCTCGCCGCAGGTAACGCTACACGGTGACCACTCAGTGTCCTTAATGTAACTGTGGATTAAAAAAAAAAACATTTTAAGATCCGTCAAGAAATGATACCTAACTAAGAATTTTATTAATGCTTTTTAATTGATTAATCCAGTGTATATTTAATCTTTATCATCATTACCTTCAATAAATAAACTTGAAGTCATTTACAAATTGATAACATGGTAATTGAAAAATAAATATATATATTAAAATAAACCTGCAGGGTTAAAATGAAATATTTTAATGTAGACACCTAGAATGATAAATTAAAAAAAAATTGATATGAATAAAAATTAAGCCGCAGGGCTTAAATGTAAATAAATTTAAATGCTCAAACCTCAAATGATTAATTCGAGTATTCCCAAAGAAATATGTTCCTTTCGTGAATGAAAATATATATTAAATTTTACGCCTCACCGACGGAACTTTCACAACTCTACCGCATTCTAAATCCCAGTGCAGTGTACACACTCATGCTGTTATCCATGGGCGATTCCTTTGCACGTTCACCCGCCTGCACACAAATCGAATCAAATAAAACTTGTGTCAACGCAAAAACCATCGTCCTGCACTCTCCCACAGAGTTTTCCTCCTGCCCCCGTCGTCCATTTCCATCCAGAATTAAGCAAATTCCATGCTACATTGGACCCCCCACGTTCTACACACTGCATTTCATTTGATGCCGGGACAGGACACATATTTATTGAGCCCCTCTGTGCTCGACCCCAAAAAGTATGCTACGCGAATGAATCGTTTGAGGGAACTCGAGTGGACACCCGCATGGCCTCCACTTTGTGTTGTTTGTAGTGGAGTTCCACTAGTGGCAGGCACTGTACGGGCATTGTTTTGTGGCCCGAAGTGGTTTTTATGGCCACGTTGACAGTCCATAGAAACGGACTGGGGGCCAGAGGCTGACAAATCCGCTGGACAGGAGCCGGAGCCTCTCTGCCCTTTATTGATTTGTAGTCAAATTGTAGATGCGAACGTCGCATTAAAGTGGCGCCAAATGGCCGCAAACATCTTAGCACTGTTCTCTAAGTAGGTCAACTCGCTGACTGCACAGTAAGAAAATAGTTCCAAGATCATCGTTAGTTTTATGTATCATCAGTTAGTTTTCTATCTTGTTTAAGTTGATAAACTAATTTGTGGGTTACTCAATTACATTTAATGTACTGTAAAAACAAATAAATGATTAAGAGTTACTCCTGATTTTTATTTTTATAAGACTACTGGTATTTATATTTATTTTGGTTACTAATTATCGGATTTTTGTGCTCAGTATAGACAAGCCGCAACAAAGTTTTAGTTGTTTTTCAAATGCTTTTATTTTATTAAAAAAATGTAAAACGAGCTAGATAAAAGAAAAACCCTGCTGTCCTCCTAAAATTGTACCCCTTAACTTATAATCCTAAGGAAACGATTAATCAAAATGAAAATACAGCCGAAAGTACATAACTTGAGCTTTCGCAACTTCAATTTCCTTAACATTTTAACTTGAAGTTTTCTATATATCTATATTTTTTCTTGGCAGATGGTGTTTAAGATATGGAAGTTCGACTGTAACTTTGTTGCGTTTAAAAGTAAACATGCATCTCCCTACAATTTCTGAAAGTTATTTGATGAAGGAGCCCAAGTCTTTGAGTGCAGTGTATAAAATATGGCAAACCGATTTTTTTTATTTTTCTCAGTGATGCTGCTGATTCTGATTTCATAACCACCGCGCCGCGTAGGCCATGCGCGTGTTCAGAACTTTGTTTGCTTGTATCTCCTCTCATTTTTTTGTTTGTCTGGCTGGCACGCTGCCATCGCCAATCTCTTAGTGGCCTTTATTGTTGCCGCATCGGCATCGGAGGCCAAGGTTCTGGTGGCGGCATCAAGACGCGACTTTATGGCGGCGCCAGGCTGGAATAGTTTCGGCTTAGTGGGCATCGGAAAGGAAATGTAAGGAAAAGATAAGTTGAATGCCTTTTTAGCGAAATAAAAAGCGGCACTTTGTTGGTTCTTGGTCAACGGTCCATTGGATTCGAGAGAAATGAGTTTTTCACTTCCATATATTCTTTCTCTTAGCCATAGGCATTTAAAACTTGGGTCATTGCTCGACAAATGGAGTTGGGAAATGTCCTATGTGATGTAATTAATAGCAATAATTTCCATATAATTCAAAATACTTATACAGTTGGACTTATATAACCCTCCATACATTCTACGACTTTGATTGCTATTTAGTAATTAAGAAATAAGCAAATAAATCTGTACATTACTACAATAGGATTACTCATCCCACTTCGTAATACCGCCTAATGTCAAAGATCTTTAAGCTCTTTTTGGAATTGACCAGAACGATTTCCTGACACCCCAAACCACACTTCCACATAAATAAGTGTACAGGGATTTCCAATCAGAGCTGTAATTTATTATTTCGCCTAAGTATTCCCCACGCGCCAATTATCCGATAAAAGCCCTAGGATTTGGGCACTCGATTCTAATGATTTCATTGTGATTCGATTCCTTCGCTTGTTTCCCTGGCTAATTAAAGTGTGTAAATACCTAAGAGGTGCTTGGCCGTTGTGAAGTGAGTCCACAATTTGATATGTTTGACCTGGCTTATCGGCGGGACTTTATCGCTTACCAATAACAATGAAATGGGCACGTCAAAGCGGCACTTTAATTGTCATTAGGCGCACTTTACCGCACTTACAACCTACTCCAGTTCCAAGTCGATACTCTGCCCACTCCTGTCCGAGGATGTGGCTCCGTGAGTTTGTCTAATAGCCTTAATTTTAGGTGTCGACACTGCTCAAGGACATTATGATGAGTCACGGAGAGGGGCTGGTGTGGGTGTGTGTGTGTTGGCCAAGTGCTCCAGAGAAGTCGAGTCGAGTGGCAGCTAAGTGGGCTGAGATGGCGGAGAAGGACGCGGAAGAGGGCCTAGCGACGCACTAAAGTTGAAATATGTCAAGTGCTGGCTTCGGGGCGAGATAAGGCTAGTGAAGTGGTTGGAGGAGCCAGGGGCCTCGACTCCTTAAAGATAGTGAGATCGAGTCAAAAGCCCCTGGAAGGCGTAGTGAGTCATGTCCCAAGGGAAACGGATAACCACACCAACCATATTGAGGCGTGACTTCAATTAAGCACCGACAATAATTATTGAAATGTGCGACATGCTACACAATACTCAACTTAATTTTCTGGGTGGAGAGGAAAAGTATTGCTATCCTACAACATTCTGGTATAGAAAAAGCTTTTGCAGAGAACTAATTTAAGAGATTCGTAATCTTTGCTACTTGGGACTAACTTATTTATCCTAGAAAATCGGTTTGCTCTAATTAGAATAGAGTGGTAATAAATTTTAATGTGGTTATTTAACTCATTTTTTTTGTCCGTTGATTTGAAAATATCAATTACTAACTTAAAAACTTAGATTTAAAAATAACCAAAAAAGGTTTCTTTTCTTTTCTCACCGTTTTGTACTTAAATTAATATTCTCGTGCTTACACTAACGAATGTGCTTTTAAGAACGAATGTTCACAATTCAAGAACAATGTGCTTACATTTTTCTCTCTGTGTATGTATCGCGACTCTAAGTTAATTAATACACCCGCCCTACTTACGTGGGGTCCAATGAGGGTCCATCCGCTCTCCCGCCTCCCCGATTGTAATTATTATTCGAATTTCCGCTCATCAGGTGCATGGTGCGCGGCTCATCTGGGGCTTCCTGCTGCAGGCGGCTCTGCGTACGATGGGAGTAGCGCAGGGGTTGATCGGCATAGGACGGGCCCTCGCCGTCATCCGTATCCTGGCCCGATTCCAGGTCATCGATGTCCTCGGCCTCGTCATCCTCTTCATCGTCGTCGTCATCCACATCCGAGCTGTCCATCTGCCGCTCCGATCGCTGCGATGGGAGTTTAAAATTTCCGTTTAAGCTGAAAGGGGCTGAAATCTTTGACAGACCACCAGACTCACCTCGTTCAGCGACCGGCTGCTGCCCACGATGATGGTGCCACCACCCTTGTTTGAGGACCCACCTCCTCCTCCGCCTCCACCTCCGCCTCCTCCGCCGCCACCGCAGTGGATTCCAGTGGAGCACTGCTGCATGCTGCCCGGCTTGGTGAGCGGATCACACTTGGCACTCAGGCTGCCGTCCGTCGATTTGCATTCGACGCCCCGCATTTGTATTCCCTGTCCGCAGGAAACCGAGCACTGTGGGTTAGAAGAGGGACGGGGTGGCACAGCCGTGAGCATTATAAATTATTTCAATACGCTCCCTTTCCGCCGTCATAAAAAGGCATTTGTTTGCACAAAGTATGAGCCGCAGCATGACAAAGTGCGCTCCTTCTTGGCAAATGTTCCAAGTGATGCGGCTAAAAAACAAAAAGGCAAATCCAACTGAGACTCTCTAACACCCCAAACCACCCTAAGGCCCCACCTACACGCACACACGGACATTCAACCCCATCGCTGGCCCGCATACAAATGCAAATTCCCACATTGTTTGTCTTTCGCCGTGCCACGGGGCGTATGTGTAACGTCGCAGCTTCAACTCCATTGTATATTGGCTTAAATCCCACTTCATCCCCTTCTCATTCCCCGCCTTAATGCCGCTTAATTTTGTGGCATATATTTTATTAATGGACATAAACGGTAACGCGTTTTTTAATAGGTTCGCTTGGCTCTCGCTTTTTCCATTCCATTTTTCCATTTCATCTCATAAGCATTATGCGAATTCATTTAAAACGCCGCTGTGGATGGTCCTGCTGAAAGGTTTGCGGTTACCTTTTCGAACAAAAGAGTTGGCAAACAAAAAAAAATTTACAGGCAAAACGGCAAGGAAGTTTTATTATATTTGTGAAGTTCATTAAGTTGTTAATAGGCTGACGTTAAGTAGTTTCCACTCATTTTTTTCCCATTTTTCCGTAAAAGTTAAAAGTGAAAAGGCTTTAGAGCTACTTTTTAATTATGTTCTCCGAATTCCATTAGCTCTGTAATGGAAGACAGTCAATTGACGAGCAAAGTTTTCCGCTTGCGAAAAGGAAAAGCTATTGAATATAATTATATTACAGTGCAGGAATCTTAGTGAAGGAAAACAATCGATTGACTAACAAAGTTTTCCGTAGTGTGAAAAGCCAAAGATATCAAATATTCTATTATATTAAAACAAGACCTGTCATAATTTAATTAAATGTTTACCCTTTCTGCTTCGAACTTATTTTAATAAAGAATAAGCAGGACTCATGCCTAACAGTCTGCTCCATCTTCAACCCTAATCCAACCCATCCAAAAATACCTTTTAAGCCACCCCAAAACGTTAAGTAACTTCCAGACGAAATAAAAACCTAAGACAATTCAATTAAGCAACACATAAACTTGACACCCCCGGGCGGGCGTCCTAAGTCCCCGCACATACATGCCATTTATATGTAGAACTCTTGGGTTGGGGAAACATTAATAAAGTTGCAGTTTAAATGAACAGCAACCAAAGTGGAAGTTCAGTTTGAGTTGGGCGCCTTTAAACGAAACAGGGAAGAGGTAGCGACGTAGGTGGTAACTTGCGACCAGACAAACTTGAGTACCATGTTGATTAAGTTGTACTAGTACTACTAGGGCTATTGCCAAGAGGAAGGGGAGCGTCTCAGTCTCAGTCTAGCGGCTAGCAGCTTATTACGAGCCACCAAGCAAAGTAACTACAAATGCGGAAAAAAACCAGCAAGGAAGAAAGGTAAAAGAGCCTTGTCGAATTATGATTGCTCTATCAGAACACCAAAAAAGAACTTGATATAAAACAATGATAAATTTTATATTAATTAGTGTCAATTTTGACACCATATTTATTTAATATGGTCGAAATATAAACAACAGTTCGAATTTCGAGTGTGTTTTTTCGCTGCTATTTTTTAAGGTCAGAAAATCTCCGAGAGACAGAATTTAGCAAAATTTTTTAATATCAATTTTACCAGTATTGCATAGTAAACGCGTTTTTTTTTTGCGTTAACAAGTTAGCAATTGAAAATAATTCTCAAATAATTATATGTAATAAACAGCATTTTTTCATAGCCAAGTCGGCGATTCTGTGTTCAGACTGAAGTTCAAAAACGAGCCACGCAAAAGGCATTCCATAGGGGATATGCTCCTGACCAGCCGATGGGGCAAACAAACAGCAGCGAGCAGCGGCAACCCAGACATTTAGCTAAGTATACACAAAGGGCCCAGACCAGACGTGGCCTCGTCAACGTGCAACGGGGAACTTGCTACTTGCAACGTCTACGTCTGGGTCCTCCACTTTTTTCTGGCTGCAGCACAGAAAGTGCACGATTATTACACGACTTGCTGGGAAGTGTAAGTGGGCTGAGGTGATGAGTTGCTGAGCCGTAAGGTACTTACGCCGGTCCAGTCCTCGACCTCCCAATGCGGACACTCCTCGATAATGCAGGTCTCTTGTGTTGGCGGCTTGGGTGTGCGGCACATGATATCGGCAACCTGTTGGAGAGTGGGAGGGGGGAGGTGTGAGAAAACATGGCTATAATGTGTTGGGCTCCTCCCCGTTTCCGTATGCAAAATAAGCAGCGTTTCGAGGAGGCGGCACCGCAGCTACTCGTAATAGCCAGGCACTTTTTCGGCCATCCTCTCGGCCACTTTGCCACTCTGCTCCAACACTCACCCTCGTTTTGATGGCGTTCGACTCCTCGGCACAGACAACCATCCGCTCACGGTAGCCGTGGCCACAAAGTCGGCTGCAAGTGCTCCAATCGTCGGTTATCCAGCTGCGAATTTACAGAGGTTAAATGCAAGCGGTCAATGGGAGTTACTCGTGAATAAGCAGTACAGTACAGAAAGCAAATGAATAGTTGCCGAGAGCAATGAAAAGAAAACAATTTCACACGCTCTGAAATATGTTCAACCTAAAGTGCATGCGGTTGGGTGTGAAAAAGGAAAATGCTCCAGGGAAAGGGCAGAAGTACAACGGAATGCTACTGTTATTGGCTGTTAAATAGTTCAGCAGCGGTAAATCGCTGGCATCACTCGAGAAACTGAATGGAGCAGCTAAAAGTGCGAATAAACCGAAACGCGGAAAATTAATTGCGAGGAATTTAGAGGAGCATTAAATGGTTATATTCGAGTCCGGAATTAAAGGGCATTGAAAAAAGTAATTTAAAGGTAAAATATAAGAATAGGAAACCAAATATTACAAATTTTATTTTTAAGCTGATTAAATATTTATTTGTTTAATATATTTCTTTTTAAAATCTAATAACAATTCGTCATTACCTAAGTCATCCAATCAAACACAAAATCTCACAAAACCAACTCCCAGACAGACCAAATCAAATACATAATCGATGCCTTTGCCCGAAGGCAAAGTCGCAAAGCCGCGAACAGCAATAAACATTTAGACGGAAAACAAGGCCAGGAAGCACCGCAACGAGCGGAGATTAGAATTCGAAGGAGACCCCGGACATGGAGACATTCGCCAAATTGGCGTAAACTTTTGGCTCACTTCGGTTTCGGTTCGCCCTGGTTTTGGTTTGGAAAATGTAACCAAACGATAAATAAGCGTGAGGTTGCCAGCACTGAAAAAAAGAGAGGCGGGTAAAAGGAAAAAGGACGAAGGACGAGCCAGGGACAGGGACTGGGACTGGGAACTGGCCCCCAGCGACTGGAGACAACATCCGTGTTCGACTGCTCGGCGATAATAGTGTGCCTGGGATGGCAATCAAAACGTGCGCCCGATAACCGACGCCATTTAAATTGATAGCTGGCCAGGTGAGAAACGGCAACCGAATTTGTACTGAGAGAAAATTTAAGTGAAAAAAATGTTTAAAATTATGTTATCGGTTTACCTATTCTAGTTCAGATATACAACACAATTTTTACTTGAGAAAATAATAAAATATTAAATTAAGAAATTATATATACGTAAGCTCTACCTTTTGCAAGAAAAAATCCAACATTATTAGTTTTATTTGATATGTGAAACCTAGAACTTTTTTTCTTTATTTTATTAATTTACAATGTACAAATATTTTATTACTTAAAAATTGTTTAACACTTTTTAAACGATATTAGCACTTTTTAAAATACATTTTCTAAAGATTTAAAATCCGATAAGTAATCAGAAAAAATAACTGGTTAATATTTGTGTTATTCCCATTCAAATTATAAATTTACTCAAACATGAGAAACATATATTTGTCGCAGTATATCTGCGGTTACCTCGAGGCCCTGGGGAAATGTTTGGCGGGACAGGGATGTGGGGCTGGGCCTGCGGGTAGCTTAGGCAACTGTGTTGGATGGTGGATGGTGGCTGGTGGCTGACAGCCAGGCTCCCCAGGATCGAGTACTTACCGCGGAGGACAGCTGTGTGTATTACATTGCTCCACCGACGCCTCCGGGCGATTAGTAAGGCTGCAGAGCGTATCATCCACATCGGCGTTGGTTAGACGATTCCTGCATATAGGACGAGACATTTTGTAACCTGAGGCAGGCGAAAGGCGAGAATTCGGGGAGAGGGAAGAGAAGAACAAAGAAGAAGAATGTTAGTAAAGGGCGAAATTGGAAAGCGCATTCGAGTGCTTTGTTTTCGCTTTAATTTTCGTCTTTTTCACTTCGCTTCAGCTGCACTTTAAAATCAATAAAAGTCAGAAACTTAGGGAATTGTGTGGGGGAAAAGTGGTGGCAAGGACACTGCTTGTGCAACTTTAATGCCACTTAAGGTACTTAAGACAGTCGCAGCACAAAAGCAGTATGCGTCCAGCTTAACACGTTATTGCTGGAGGGTTGATTCAAGTAGTCAAACCAAAATATTCAAAAAATTCTAATAGTAGAAGCTAATGATATATTTATTTTTAATGTTTTTATCTGATAATTATCAGATTAAAATGATTTCAAAAAGAATTTTTAATTTTATCTATTGTTCTTTAATTTTATAAATTTAAAAATTTCGGAAAATAGTTACTACTTGAATCACTTACGGAAACTATTTGATGTACTAAGCCCTAGCTCAAGCGCTAAGCGATCTCTCCCCAAGCAACTGCCAAATCAATTTCTCAGATTTAATGGGTTAAATGTCAGCTGCTAACTGGGTAAAAACGGGCATCAGGCCAAGTTGAAGGAAGGGGGAGAAACTCCCAAAAGCGCAACCGGAAATTGGCAGATGGCAAAATGCAGCCAGTGAAGAATGACGACCGAGGTGGGTGGGGGTTAGGGGGAGTTTCGATGCGAGGCGAAGGAGTCGCCCAATGCATAACGTCATAACGATCTGTCAGTTTGAAAAATCGTTGCAAGCTCCTAACCCTCGGATCTCGGTGTATACACTCCCTCGGCGAGCAGCTGTGACGCTGATTTTGCAGCTATTGAATTTCGCTTATAAGCTTCATTGCCAAGTGTGTGCGCCATCGTCATCGTCGTCGAGTTTCTCCTTTTTATCCTCATCAGATTCGCCTCCCGCTGACTGCGTATTCATGACACAATTGGCTTAAGGCAATTGGTAATATCCTCTCATGGCATTTACGTCAATTGTCGCAGCCCAAAGAGAAGTCATCTCCAGCTTGGGAGGAGAGAGGAGGGAGTTGGGAGGTCCAGGGACAGGACTCCAGCGAAAAGCGGGCCATGACCCAGTGGATTTGTAAGGCTCACAGCATCCAGCAGGCTGTCAGTCTGGAGCTTATAAAAGCGGCCAATCCCTGCCAATTTTCATCACCCATCCTCGCTCCTGATTTTCTCTTGTACTTTTCGTTGATAAATTATGAAGAACGGAATTTTTAATGGGACAGGCCAGCGGGCCATTTCTTTAATCAAAAGCAAAGTTCAGTTCTACAATTACAAAGGTGTATAAAACTCCAAATACTCGTAGAAAGTTTGTAGTTAAATTGGAATTCTATTTTTTCCAAATGTTTCTTTGGCTCACAAATAATTGACATATTTACAATTTTATCCTCTTCCAGCTTTATACAATTTCTGGTTTGTCACATTGGTAATCCAGAAACATTTCACTCCAAATATCCTGAAGTGCACAAAAAAAACAACAAACTAAATGAAGATTAAGTGTTTCCAATTCCGAACAAGCTCCATTAGACAGCAGGGAGTGGGTACTGAAAAATCGAGAGGAAGGCAAGTAAGTGCAGCAGACAGTTGGAACTCCTGTCACGTACATGAGAACTGCAGTTGTCCAACTGCGAAACTACCCATCCAAATATGTATAATTGAGCATAATTGATTTCGTGAAATGTGTGCAATTATGTGCCCACGAGGGGGCAACGAGCACTGAACATGAGTAAAAGCATTTCGGTGTCCACGGCAAAAAACCCCACTACTAAATCGGATTGGCCCGAGTCTGAACCCCACAGGTGACCATTAATTCGAGGGTGGGCCAGGCCAAGCGCTAGGAAATGCCCCAAAGAGACCCTGGGCACTGAGCACTGCAGTGCACTTGACATTTAACTGACATCTAAAAACTAAACACAGACAGACACATTGAAATGTAATTACAGCCGGGTCAAGCCAGCATTGAGTAGGTCACTGGGGTTCGGCGAACGCCCTAAGCGATACTGCAATTAAAACTGGAGGAGGGAGCTGGAAATTGATTTGCCATTTGTCGCTGGATAATGCCTGAGCAAACGTCTGGTCAGAAAGCCCTCCGGCCACCCCGAATGGCACTCAGCCAAAGCAAAGGACAACTTATCTCTGACAGGCTAATGGACGGGAAAAATGCCGAACCAAATAATGATTACGAATTTATGGGACACTCGAAGGTCCAACTCAATAGAAGGATTCTGAAATGGCTTAAAGTTTTCTTTGCTGTTAGGGACATCCATTATATTTGAACCGGATCGACGGACCAAACAATAGTTCTTAGCTTTGAATACATTTACAATATTAAAATGCTCAAGTAAATTAAGCGAAAATTCAGAGGTAAAAGCTTAAGAATTTTATCAAGCTCACGTTAAAATTTCCAACTAATTATTTCACAAAATTACAAAGCTTCGCCATAAAATATTAATTAGGGTTCCTGTCAACTCTTGCTAAAATTAATTTCCAACTCTTTTGTGTGTATTCCTCAAAAAGCCGACACTCTCATTTGATGAAGTTCCCGAATAAGTTTTAGGGCAAAATACCCTCTGCGAAGTACACATGCTATTCAACGCCAAGTTTTATTACCTTATGCCTCATCATGTTGCACTTCAGAACTTTCAACTTAACCCAGAAAAGGAGCCTGGCAGCCCAATTTATGACCCGAGCGCAACATGAAACTTAACCTAAGTCTGACTTTAACCTAATCGACAAACTTTAGTTTCAAATATATTACATCCCCCGGACGATTAATCATATACAGGTACAGAACTGTTTTCAACAACCATTTCTCTGGGGATTGGGATCTGGTATCGTACACTCATAGAAATTTTTACCCTAAATCGCCCTAAAAAATTGACTTTTCGCCCGTGGATTTAGAAAATCGCCCATAAATCGTATCCGCTGGCGATTCGCCCGTGTATTTAGAAAAATTTTCTAAAAAATCACGATGGAAATTTGGTTTAATTTAGGGTGATTTTTCTTGAAATAAGAAATATTTTCCTGTTTTTAGGGTGATATGCCCTAATTTTAAGGTGTATTTTTCTAAAATTAAGGGCGAATTTTCTGTTTTTATAGGCGAATGCCCTAAAAAATTAGACAAATTGAAAAAAATCGTGTTTGAGCATGCTTAACTGAATTTGGGAAGCATGTTTTTTTTTTAGTCATCTATATTCTGGGAACTGGGACTGCTTTAATTAAACAACACCGGCGGAGGACACCGTTTCATATTATTGTATTGGTGTGTAGCTTATATGGGAGCCGCGTTAAGAGGGGGGCCCGATCTATACAGCACAGCCGTTAGAACTGAAAAATCATGTTTGTAAATGAATTAGGGAAATAAATATGAGGAGAAAAAACAACTTACTTTTTTTGGTCATTGCGAGAATCGAACCCACGACCTCTCGGTTTAGAGTCTAACGTCCTACACTCATAAAAATAATTTTCTACATTTTAGAAAATCGCCCTAAAAAATTTTTCGCCTTTGAACTGAGAAAATTTTTCTATTTTCACGACAAATTTGCCATAAATTTAAGGCAGGTGACCATAAAAAAATATTTTTAGGGTTAATTTTTCTATTTTTCTAATATTTAGGGCGATTTTTTTCGATTTGCTTCGTTTTGACCTTTTCTAAATCCAACGGCGAATTGCCCTAATTTTTTTTCTAAAATTTTTCTAAATACAAGGGCGGTTTGCCTTAAAAATCACTCCAAAAGTGTGAAATTCGGTAGCCCAGCGGTCTAATCACTTGCGCTTTCAACTTTGCTATATGAGGACTAAGGTCGTGGGGTTGTGGGTTCGAACCCTGTGTGATTCAACTTGAATTTTAGGTTTTTTTTTTTTTTTGTAAACATTATAATACTGAGGACATTTTTTCGTCCGAATTTTAAATTAAAGTAGTCTTTAAACCTTAAAAACGTATGGGAGTTCTGAGTTAAAAGCATACTTTGTGTTTGCGGGCAAAAAAAACGGGACTAATTGTCACAGTCGTCAGGAAAAAAATTAGTTTAGTTGCCTTTAGTCATATTATAACGTAGACCTCAAGAAAATAAGATGTGTGCAGAGTTTGTTCGTCGTCTTGCGCGATGGGTCTGTGGTGCAGCGGTAGGACGTTAGACTCTAAACCGAGAGGTCGTGGGTTCGATTCTCGCAATGACCAAAAAAAGTAAGTTGTTTTTTCTCCTCATATTTATTTCCCTAATTCATTTACAAACATGATTTTTCAGTTCTAACGGCTGTGCTGTATAGATCGGGCCCCCCTCTTAACGCGGCTCCCATATAAGCTACACACCAATACAATAATATGAAACGGTGTCCTCCGCCGGTGTTGTTTAATTAAAGCAGTCCCAGTTCCCAGAATATAGATGACTAAAAAAAAAACATGCTTCCCAAATTCAGTTAAGCATGCTCAAACACGATTTTTTTCAATTTGTCTAATTTTTTAGGGCATTCGCCTATAAAAACAGAAAATTCGCCCTTAATTTTAGAAAAATACACCTTAAAATTAGGGCATATCACCCTAAAAACAGGAAAATATTTCTTATTTCAAGAAAAATCACCCTAAATTAAACCAAATTTCCATCGTGATTTTTTAGAAAATTTTTCTAAATACACGGGCGAATCGCCAGCGGATACGATTTATGGGCGATTTTCTAAATCCACGGGCGAAAAGTCAATTTTTTAGGGCGATTTAGGGTAAAAATTTCTATGAGTGTACCGCTGCACCACAGACCCATCGCGCAAGACGACGAACAAACTCTGCACACATCTTATTTTCTTGAGGTCTACGTTATAATATGACTAAAGGCAACTAAACTAATTTTTTTCCTGACGACTGTGACAATTAGTCCCGTTTTTTTTGCCCGCAAACACAAAGTATGCTTTTAACTCAGAACTCCCATACGTTTTTAAGGTTTAAAGACTACTTTAATTTAAAATTCGGACGAAAAAATGTCCTCAGTATTATAATGTTTACAAAAAAAAAAAAAACCTAAAATTCAAGTTGAATCACACAGGGTTCGAACCCACAACCCCACGACCTTAGTCCTCATATAGCAAAGTTGAAAGCGCAAGTGATTAGACCGCTGGGCTACCGAATTTCACACTTTTGGAGTGATTTTTAAGGCAAACCGCCCTTGTATTTAGAAAAATTTTAGAAAAAAAATTAGGGCAATTCGCCGTTGGATTTAGAAAAGGTCAAAACGAAGCAAATCGAAAAAAATCGCCCTAAATATTAGAAAAATAGAAAAATTAACCCTAAAAATATTTTTTTATGGTCACCTGCCTTAAATTTATGGCAAATTTGTCGTGAAAATAGAAAAATTTTCTCAGTTCAAAGGCGAAAAATTTTTTAGGGCGATTTTCTAAAATGTAGAAAATTATTTTTATGAGTGTAGGACGTTAGACTCTAAACCGAGAGGTCGTGGGTTCGATTCTCGCAATGACCAAAAAAAGTAAGTTGTTTTTTCTCCTCATATTTATTTCCCTAATTCATTTACAAACATGATTTTTCAGTTCTAACGGCTGTGCTGTATAGATCGGGCCCCCCTCTTAACGCGGCTCCCATATAAGCTACACACCAATACAATAATATGAAACGGTGTCCTCCGCCGGTGTTGTTTAATTAAAGCAGTCCCAGTTCCCAGAATATAGATGACTAAAAAAAAAACATGCTTCCCAAATTCAGTTAAGCATGCTCAAACACGATTTTTTTCAATTTGTCTAATTTTTTAGGGCATTCGCCTATAAAAACAGAAAATTCGCCCTTAATTTTAGAAAAATACACCTTAAAATTAGGGCATATCACCCTAAAAACAGGAAAATATTTCTTATTTCAAGAAAAATCACCCTAAATTAAACCAAATTTCCATCGTGATTTTTTAGAAAATTTTTCTAAATACACGGGCGAATCGCCAGCGGATACGATTTATGGGCGATTTTCTAAATCCACGGGCGAAAAGTCAATTTTTTAGGGCGATTTAGGGTAAAAATTTCTATGAGTGTACCGCTGCACCACAGACCCATCGCGCAAGACGACGAACAAACTCTGCACACATCTTATTTTCTTGAGGTCTACGTTATAATATGACTAAAGGCAACTAAACTAATTTTTTTCCTGACGACTGTGACAATTAGTCCCGTTTTTTTTGCCCGCAAACACAAAGTATGCTTTTAACTCAGAACTCCCATACGTTTTTAAGGTTTAAAGACTACTTTAATTTAAAATTCGGACGAAAAAATGTCCTCAGTATTATAATGTTTACAAAAAAAAAAAAAAACCTAAAATTCAAGTTGAATCACACAGGGTTCGAACCCACAACCCCACGACCTTAGTCCTCATATAGCAAAGTTGAAAGCGCAAGTGATTAGACCGCTGGGCTACCGAATTTCACACTTTTGGAGTGATTTTTAAGGCAAACCGCCCTTGTATTTAGAAAAATTTTAGAAAAAAAATTAGGGCAATTCGCCGTTGGATTTAGAAAAGGTCAAAACGAAGCAAATCGAAAAAAATCGCCCTAAATATTAGAAAAATAGAAAAATTAACCCTAAAAATATTTTTTTATGGTCACCTGCCTTAAATTTATGGCAAATTTGTCGTGAAAATAGAAAAATTTTCTCAGTTCAAAGGCGAAAAATTTTTTAGGGCGATTTTCTAAAATGTAGAAAATTATTTTTATGAGTGTACTGCCACTCGATTACCATGCAAACATTCAATCGAAACAAATTCCAATTCAATGAAAATAAATGAGCACGACAAATAGCTGACTCCTCCGCACTCACACATACGAATGCTGGTGGAAAAATATATTTGACAGTACTTTTTGCGGGGAGGGGAAAATGAGCAGGAGGGATTACAAACGGCAGCCAAACACGCCAAGAGCTCCTCGGGCCTCCGATTCCAATGTTCTTGACATATTCCACTTGTTTATTTACCCTAAGGATAGCAAAGACAGACGCTCATCGATGACAGCAGAGTGGCTACACTGGGGAAAACTTATAAGATGATCGCTTACAAAGGTATTCAATCGACGGATTTCATGAAAAATTCTTGTTTTTGTTAAATATTTACTTTCTTTACATTCAAATGTAGGCAAAAATAAAATTAGGACTTTAATATAAAATATATATATTTTGTATCAATATTTGTTTAAGCCTAAATGTAATTTTGAGGTTTTGAGAAAAGTTTTTTAATTAAGTTCGTTAGGAGTGGAATCGTGTAGAATTCAATGTCTAATCATGACAAACTAACAGCAAAAGTGTAATTCCAATGTCTTAATCTTAAAATATTTTTATTTTAAAAAATTATAAATGAAATAAACAATTCTCTGACTATTTATAGAACTATTAAACGAAATTATTTGGAAAATATTCGCATAAATAGACTTTTTCTTCAATAAACTTAGAGGGTAATTTTCTCAGTGCACAGGGTGGCGGGTAACATAAGGCCTGAACTTACCACTGCCGCAGGTGGCAGAGCACTGCGACATCGGTGCCATCTCCCAGTAATAGAGCGGTTGGGAGCACGAGTTTCCATCGCCGCCGCACACGCCGCATCCGTCGATTTTCTTCGTCGAGCCGATTTTCAAATCGCAGCCAACGCGCTGGAAAGAAACAGAAAACCGCTGGCGTTAGAACGAGATAGACACAGACGAAGACAAAAGGTAAATAAAAATGGCTGCGTAAATAAAGTGTAAATCAACTGTTAGCGGTATCAATAGCGTAACACACAAAAAACAACGGCAATCGTAAATAAAATATGGAAATCAATGAGAAAGGATCCATTGCATAAGCGCGGCGTAGACCAAATGGGAACACAAAAAGTGGGGCACTGTTTGCTTTTTCGCTTCGGCCCCAAAGTTCATGGTCTATCATGCTACAAACGCTTTTTGTGTTTTTCGGAATTAAACGGTAGATTGTTTGACATGTGAAGGTTGATTAAAATGTGAATTCCACTAAGGTTTATTTTTTTTTCTGAACCAAGGTCATTTCTCGATAAGTTTGTTGCCGGAATTTAAAGGGTGAACAGAATTTTTTAGGTTAAGTGCTTTAAAGGTATTTAAGTTTATTTAAACTAAGAACATTTTATTCTTATAAAAAAAAATTTTTAAAAACTTTACTTTATTTGTAGTTATTATTTTTAACCCGCAAAAAACAAGCTTTCTTAAAGTCTATCATTTACATAAACACTGGGAGCCCAGGCAGCCTGTTTTTGGATGCGTTGTGTTGAGCTTTACTTTTTCTGGGCTTCCTGCTGGCTTGTGTGTAAACCGCAAGACAAACAAGCAAAGTTAAGGCCCGCGGCTCGCATAACAGACCGCCAAGCTGGCAGCAACGTTTTTGATTTATTTAAAACAGATATATATATATAATACCCATATACAGATATATACGTATCCACATATCGAAGGCCTCTGGCTGGCGGCTGCTGCTCCGCACCCTCTGTTTGGCGACAAATAAAACACAACGTAAACCGCATGACATATTGGCGTTTATTACAACAAATTGGGGTGACGATTTGGCGGCATTACAGCGCAGCCGGGAACTAGGCGAAACTTGGATAAGATGCCGTACTCCCACACAGGAGCACACACGTCTGTAGGAAATCCGCTGAAACTGAAGCGAAACACAAACAGTCGTGTCGAGGAGGAAACCCCCTAGGCTCTTGTTGTGCCGTCGCCACTGCGGCTGTCGCCAACTTCGTTTGACATCATTGTAGTTGTAATCCTGCCAAGTCGTGGCAGACATCGCTGGCACCCCAGCATGACGAGGGTTGCCCCGGCACCTAGTCAAAAGTTCCCGCCCAAACATCTTCATCAAGCAAAATTTAACATTTAAATCATGCAACATTTTTAAATGTGATCAAAATAACGTTGTAAAATTATCTTATTATTTTTCAAAAGAAATTGCAAAGAAATTAATTTCCAATATTAATTAGTTATGAGATCTACTTTATTTATTAAAAATATCCCCCAATTACAATAGGTAGTACTTACAGTTTAAATAAATTAATGAAAAATGTAGTTAGTGCCAATTTTTCGGCCACCCCTCGCCACCCATGTCAACATATCGTAGCATACTTTGCAGCGCATTTCGAGGGAACTCCCTGCCGCGACTCTGGGAGCAGTTTTTGCTCGACGTTGCCCTGGGGCACGCTTTATTGGCATTTCAATAGTTGACTTTTGACGGCAACTGAGGCAGAACAACCTGCATGCCCGCCCCCTTCACCCCCTTCGACCGCCCACTTTATGATTTATTTATGCGCCGGAGCATAATGATACAAAGGCGCTTGTGTTATGCAATCTACATACATATACATATGCTTAAGGCTCCCCCGAAGGGAGCCCGAGCGTAAGTAGCTTTGTTTTTGCCTTTTCGGGCCTCGGCAATGCCCAAAAGCCTACAACCAAGCCATCCAGGACCACCCCTTACCAACAGAATTGTGGACGTAATTTATCATCTTTCGCCTCGCCGATGGGGAGTAGTTGAAGTGGAAGGGACGGCTCGAACAGGAAGGAAACCCCCGACTGCTGTTCGGGGACAAGCTTTGCCTAAATGGGACTCACCTGACATTTTCCTTGGATGCACATATCCAGGCTGCCGGAGCGACAACGGGTTCCATCTTGGACCCTCGCCGACAGTTGCACAATGACGCTCTGCTCGTCGTAGTGCTCCGCCTCCTCGGCGTTCCCTCCTCCCGTCTCCCGGGAAATGTCTTCGAGGAGATGCGCCGGATGTCCCCTGCGGATGGAGAATATTTTTTGCGCCACGGTTATTCATGAATTAAATGGAAAAGGCGGCTCCTACGGAGCCTGATTCAACGACTGATAAAGGTGAAGGCTAACGTTAAGGATAATTTCAGAAAGCTTATGGGAAAAAGTGCTTACGCTCGGCAAACGTAAGCCAAACTGATTAAATGTAAGCCAAGTTCAAAATGTTGTACTTTGCATAATTAGTTGATATTATAGAATATAGAACTAAGTTAAATTTAGATGCCTGATCTGCTTATGATGAATTGGGCTACCATTTCTGATGTCCTTACTTCCGAAAAATAATAGAAACAATAAGCCAGTTCAAGAAAATGAATTATTTCCATGTATAAATGAGAATAGTAATACTTTATTATACCAATCCTTCAAATTAAAGAGTGTTATTTTTCACACAACTACGTACTTAGTTTTTCCGGACGTTTCCCTAAGAATCACTTCCCGAAGCAATTCCCCTTCTGCATATCCTCGTACAAATTGCTTCCTCTGCGGCAAGCTCCCCTGTCCGTTTGCATTTGCAACTAAATTGCAGAAACTTAGCAAATGATTTGTTTAGCCCGCATATGTGTGCGAAAAAAAAGGAAAACTAAGAAAAATTCCAAACGGATTAACCACAGAGTTGGAAACCGCAGAATCCTAAACCCAAACACTGCTGCCACTAATTTGAACCGCAAAAGGGGGAAAAATGGTATGGCAAACAAAAAAAATGGAAAAGGGACAAACAGCTTTTTTATTGTCACAGAACCAGGAACCGGAACGGGAATCAGCACCAACCGAACCCAAGCCCCAACCACAGGACCTAAATGGAAGCCACTTGAAGCGACACCACATGGCTGGCCGAACGGAGGCCATGATGAATAATGAGCGCACATCCGACTGGACCTGCTGCACCATAGTCCGATTAGGTGTGGCCATGATTCCGCTATGCAACAAGCCTCACTTGCAAAAATACTCCAGGAAATGTAGGAAATTTTAAAGTGATCCTTAATGCAAAAATTAAAAATAAAAAATAAACATATTATTAAAATGTACCCCTCTTTATTTAAGTTAATTTATTACAAAATTTAAAATGTCGGATGTTTGAACAAGAAATTAAACCAACCGCATTTGGAATATTCCTTTACTATAAACTATTTTTTCAAACGGACAGAGTTTAAGAGTCTCTTGCAAATTTAAACTCAAAACTCGGATTTTAATTCCAACCTCTTGTTAAGAACTAAAACAAGAAGGTAGGAAGATCATACATGGAGCAAGGGAAAAGAAACATTTTAAATTAATGTATTAGATTTTTGTTGCTACTTAAACCCTATTTATTTATTACACTTTTGAAAAAATAAAATCCCTTTTGGAAAACTAACTGACATTTTTTGCGAGTGCTCCGCCCAGCTTAGTAGTCACACTCACCTGCATGTGAGCGCACAGGGCTCGACGTAATCGTAGTGCGGAGTCCACTTGTACAGGGTGCCGTCGTAGGGGACATCGTTGTAGGCGGCACATTGGCTGGAGCGGAAGTCCTGTTGCTCCGGACACGGCTGCATGTTGCAGATGCGATAGCGGGCGCTCTCGCCGCGGCAACTGCCCGGGCTGCCGCACCTACGCATCTGTTGCATGATGCCCCCGTCGCAGGTGCGCGAGCAGGTCGACCAGTCCGACCAGCTTGACCACTGGCCGGGACCACCGCCTCCTCCGCCGCCTCCGCCTCCTCCCGAACTCTGACCCTTCGCTCGCTTCTGTTGCTGCAAATTGGCAGTTGCATTTGAGGGCTTACTGTGCCGTGCTGTGGCTAATGAAAGGCCCAGGCTACTTACTTCCAGTTCATTTTCTAAATCGGACGCTGTGTTCCATGTGTCGTCGAATGCTTGACTCGCATTTAGCTTCTTCGCCCAGGCGGCCCGTACATCCAATAGGCATAGAGTGGTCTATAAGTAGAGGAGATTGTGAACACAGATGATTAGTGCCTCGGTAGAAACCATTATTTGAGAGGATTGTTTCAAAGCTAATAAACTGCCTTATGACCAGAAAGTTATGTAGGTGTTTTCCTGTTCTGATTTTGATTATTTTTCCCAATAAATTATAGTTAAATAGCGCAATCTGCAAATTAATTCCCCACTCAATAGCCACTCCATAAGACCCACTTACAAAACTATCTAGTTCGTGGCATAATGCCAACTTGAGCCCAATAACGCGATGCAAAGTGTGTCACATATTTGACATTTGGGGTTCAAGCCCCAGAGCCAAGCTCTCACATTGATATAAATGGTTTTCTCTCGCACGCGCCGTTCCCGTTAGTCACGTTAACAATTTGCATTTCGGCTTCCTGCCGTCGGTTCCTCGGTTTTTCATATCGAAGGCACATTAACCCTGGAACACGCATCACTTCTATATACACGTAGAAGGACAGAAATTGAAAGCAATCTCGACACTGCACAGTGGACAATATTAAAAGTCGAAACATAAAAGTATACATATTTTTAAGGGCAACATATTGCAAGTCCCCTAATGTCCTACCCTACAAACAAAAATAAAAAAAAAGTAATTTATGGATTTTTAAAAATATTTTAAAAGTTGTTTAATAACTAAACTAACTAAAAGGTAATTTGATGTAAAAAACATAATTATAGTTATTTTTACCGACATTATTATAAAAAAATACAAGTTATATTATCCAAAATATCTTACTTAATACTAAAAAGAAACGGAAATCGGTTCGCCCAGTGTTCGTGTCAAGGGTTCAGGGAGGAGAAAATCGGAGCTATGGGGTGGAGGCGTTTATGCCACACGTTGTCTGCTCCCGATGTTGCTGTTGCTGCTTTATGGCGTGTCGCGATATGTCCACGTGCTTCAATTTACCGAAAACTACTCATATGTATATACTTAGTATGGGCAACTACACGCAATCACGGCCTGAACTGCGGCAACTTAACAAGTGTGTAAGTGTTTATCACAGGAAGCAGGCCATACGAACTTTTAAGTATTTCACGACATGAACTTGAGGTTGTTGAATATAGCCATTTCTGCATCATTACTTCGGCAATTTTAAAGAAAAAGCTTTTCATGCTATACAGAAAAGTATTACACCCACTCTATTCTATTCAACGAATTTCATTGCGGTTAGATTATCAGCTTAACTGATACTATAAACTATTGAAGAGCTCTTACATCCCACATGTAGATACAATCTCAGAGTCTATTAGTCCTTCCCCAAGGCAACCAAGTCCATTTGGAAAGCCAAAGTTATTATCGGTGCTCGCCTAATCGCCACATCTGTTGTCAGCTTGAAGGCATCAGACAACGAACTAAGAACAACGCATGTGGCTAACAGCCAGTCGGCTTAACAACTTTCCGTCTAAGCCAAGGTCTGAGCCCTCTGAACCCGCCCATTCCGGTTGGAGGTGCAATCTTTAAGGCAAATCAGCGCCAAATGGACCAGAGCCAATGGAAAAGCGAGTCGAGGGCCACAAACAAATCCCAGCGAGTGTGTGGCCAGGGGGAGGCGGTAAACCTTCCGGAACGGAAGCTCATACCATATATAGTATGTACGTAGATTGTCTCCTGCATGAAACATGACCTGACCCACACAAACTGGCTCTCTCGCACTCGCATTTGATTGCAGTTTGGATAGAATGGAATAAGCAGCAGAGGATATGTAAAGCCAACAAGATGGAATGTGCGATACAGCCAGTTCTGGGCAATAAAAGTCAGCAGAAAGAGGAAAAAACAAAGCACAGCCAGGAGAAAGCTCTTAACAAAATCGGCGTAAAATCTCATATGTCCATCCATGCGGTTAGGAAAAGCTACTAAATTACTATCCAAGTATCTATTACCACGTTTCAAGTGTTGCCACTGGTCAGAGCCCCATTGTATGTGTGCTCCCCTAATGGAAATGTTTAAGCCTTGGCGACCCTTGGGCAAACATTAGAAAAACAAATAACGAACCCACTAAAGACTTAGCCCTGGCCACGTGCACAACGACGACAGGTGTAGTGTGTACTATACTATACCGTATAGCCTCCTTCTCCGCCGGACAGGAAGTCGGGTATTTGTGAGTATGCGGTTGGGAATGGAAATGGGATTGGGTAGCAAGGAAAAACATTAGCGAACAACATCGGACAGGTCTAGCACATTTTATGCACAAGCATTTTGCGATTCCGGTAATTATTTATTTATGAGTTGAAACCGTTTCAATAACTCACTTTTGCCATTCCATCCCCCCTTCAGCCTCCTCGGGCAGACGTCAACTGTCGAGTTCTACGGGTTTCTACTACGGGTTTGCGGGCTGGTCGTCGTCGTCGTCGTCGTGGCAGGAAGTCATTGTAGGTAGTTAGTTAATGTGCACAGTGGTGCGAAAATGATGAATTTATGGGTCCGTGCGGAAGGGATAGCGGTGTTATGCCTGCTGGTAGTTACTACATGAATAGGGAATGAGTGGGTGGATTAATGGAAGGCAAGTGCTTCCTGTACAATTTACTATTAAAGTTGATCAAGGGAAAGTATTTGGGTTTTGTGCTCACTATGATATCTATCCATTCTTCCCTAAAGAATTCGCGTATTATTGTGATATAATTTTTGTTTTGGTGGAATATAACAAAGTAATAAAAAACACCGAATTCTTCAGAAGAGTATGGTCTAGTATGACCAACAATTGTAGTTTTTACCCGAATTCTTGAGTTCAACCCTTCAGTACTAGAATAAATATGTACCTCCTTTTTACTTCACAACCCACGGTGCCAGCCTGTTGTCAGGCCAGAACAGACAGCCAAGTCTATTTCCAAAGACAGTCAGCAATACTAGAGTACGTCAGACAGGCGGAGGAAGGTAAACTGGGACGGCAGCAGTTTTTGCATAAATACTGGGGCACGGTTGGTTAGGTCGGGGTTGAGCGGAGAGCATCCCTCCAGGATGCTGCTGCCGAATACGAAAGCGTTAGTGAGTCCAACAGACGATTAGACTGTCAAAGATGACGAAGGGGAGTGCAGTCGGGGGTCTTGTTCAGGTAAACGCTGTTCCGTCAGTTGATTGTATTGTAACCAAGGGCTAGGGGGTGGATATGGAGTATGGAGTGGTAGTATATACGAATGTAGGTAGATATCTTCAGTTGGATAATGTGTCTGTAGCGTCACGTCAGTTATTTATTCAAAGCGACAGCGACAGGCGGCGCAAAACGTCAATGAGCTAAAATTTTCCGTATGCGAAGGTTGCACAGGTTGCTGCCGCAAAACAGATGGGGGATCGGGGGAGCGGGGGATCAGGGTCGTATGACTGATATAATAGGACGACGGTGTCGCTATAGCCACAGCAGCTACAGTTACAGCAGCAGGCGAAACGTTGACATGACAAGGGATAGATGGATGGATGGATGAACTGGGTTCTGGGCTTTTGGGTCTCCGAATTGATGGCTTTGCTCCGGTTCGTTACCGCTCTGCTCTGTTTTCCGACTTCGGGGGCCTGTCTAACCTGTCCGATTGTCTAGGCTTGTCTATCCATTTGACTGACATTACTTTGTCATTAATTTTCGATGGCAACACTTAACGCATGTGGAAGCAAAGGTCAAGTGTCGTGGTCCGCATCCCTCCAAAAATAAAACTCCAAACTTGGCTAAAAAAAACAAAAAGCAAATGACGCAATTGAGAGCGAGAGGGTGAACCAACTCACGCATCGCCTCTATCTGTCCGTCTCCCTCTATAATGCCATTTAACGACTGTAAGTGGCCAAGGGCTTAGCCGTTGTTAACTGTTTCCGGCTTTATATGCACTCTGTCTCGACTCCCGACTCCGTATGGCTTCGCTTTGACCTCCAACTTTGCGCTGGCCACTGCAGACGGATTTGTTTAGGTCGACTGGAATTGGGTTGCCAGGGAGCGTAAATGTTATGAAGTGGGATTTTTGCGGGATAGTAAAAATATAGAATTTGTGGTGAATTATTTGCAAATTTATGTTGCTAGTGTGCATATGAGCGAAGTTGCTTTAATATTTTCATAAAAAGCAAGAGAGAACGCTATAGTCGGGTTGGTGTCCCGACTATCTAATACCCGTCACTCAGCTAAAGGGAGTGCGAACGCTGTACTCGGGTTGGTGTCCCGACTATCTAATATTCAAACATCAGCTAAAGGGAGTGCAAGGGAGATAGATACATAAGTTTTGATTGCGTATAACTTTTTAATGAATGGTCCGATTTGAAAAATGTCTTCTACATTTCGATAGGTATAAATATACACAACAAAATTGCATTTATACTTCTCGGAAATCTTTAAAGATGTGGGTGCAGGACACATTTTAAAATCGTTAGTGGGCGATTGTGGGCGTTAGAGGGGGCTCCGCTGAAATAAACTTGCGCTGCGTAGGAGGCCCAAGAATATGTGTGGAAAATCTTAACCTTCTGCCTTTTGTAGTTTCCGAGATCTCAGCGTTCATACAGACAGACAGACGGACAGACGGACATGGCTAGATCGACTCGGCTACACCCAGAAAAATGATGGACAACATTTTAGGTCATGCATAGCCTAAAACATTTTAAATGGACTAAAAGTTCCTTTTTAGGTCATGTACTGCCTAAAAATTTAAATTTTTGGTATATTTGCCCTACTATTTAGGTCCCGTATAGCCTAATATTTTAGGTCATCGTGGGCCTTAAAATTAATGCATTTTACCTAAATAAATTTGCACGGAACTCTGATACCGTTCTAGCGACGCTATAATTCCCAACCAGTTATAGCGCGGCTTGCATAGTAACCCACTTCGATCGTTGAATAAAACAGCGATTTCACTGCTGAACAGTGAAGCCTCTTCGCTCGTTTTTGTGTGTTGGCATAATGACGACTTCTTGAAGACTAAGCCGACATTGACCTCGAGTTAGCTATAAATTTCTCTGTATTTACTTTATAATATGAAACATTTTTCAGTACAAATTTTTAGGCCAAAGA